TGAAGTTGAAGTGCCTCTGCCTTAGAAGCAAGGAACTAACAGTCTGCCTACAAATAAGCAAGATCTGTAAATCGGATGCACACATAAAACTCAGGTCCTGGAACAAAGCCAAAGTTCGGAAATGGACAAACAACCATCATTTCTGCTGGCATTTACAACTGATGAATGAAAACCACAGTAACAACACCTAGTACCCATTTGAGGCTGATTTGACCTGGGAGCCAAGGTCATTTTTAAAAAAAAGTTCAGCGCTCTTCGGACTTAAACCCATGACTTTCGGAGCCACTACAGACCAACAAGAAAATGAGCTGCTTTGAAGGTTATCCAGTTTTTGCAGCTATAGCTCTATTAAGATACTATAAATATACTTCATACTCATCAGTTCTACCATTTGTGCAGCTTCTACTCTTCTGAGATACTATAAATATACTTGATACTTTTATTGTACTGCTGTTTTCATTATTTTTGGTGGTTGTTCTTTTATTATATCAAGTATATGATTTGTCAATTTCCTGTAATATTTCTCCTGTCAGGTGATGGCTCAAGCATATTATATCTAACTTTTGCTGATATTATTATTACTCCTTCCATTTAATTTCTAGTTTATTTAAACAATAAATTATGCATTCTAACTTCACATGTTTAGCATTACTTCTGACTTTTCAAATTTATTTCTTTGTCGTACTTTAACCATATATACCTACTTTGTCATTTCTGTAATTGTGTTTACACAAATTTGTGCTTAACTTAATTAAATTTTATATCTTTTATGCTTTGCAAACTTCAGGACAGCTGTAAGTTTAAGATTATTAAGTCTTGTTGTAAGTTGACCTGTTGTAACAAGTTCTGTTTTAGTTGAAGGTTACATTAGAATACAACAAGCAATTTATTACTATGTCTAAAAATCCTTATATAGAAGGGTAAAGAAATGTCCCCTAAAGATCAAATTGAGTAGAATAGTCAATGATTGCACACTAAGGAAACAATATATCCACCATGTTATTGACACAGTGTTAGTAAGTTTGTCTAATTATTCATAGTACAAATTCTATCATAGTCAAAACCTAAATCTAAGTAAAATGTGGAACAATACAAACTACATTTTAGTCATATAAATAACTACAAAATATATACATTTGAAATATACATATACTCTGATAACTCAATTAACACTAAATATCCCAGTTATAACCCTGAGGGTGGAACAAAATATTTTTGAAAAATTACTGTTACTACTACTAATGTGGGTATCACCAGATCACATACAGACAATCACATGCTTTATTTCTACATTAACAACAAATGTAATCATCACCATATATCTTACACGTGATCTGAGGTGTAAATTCAGATTGCTATCTTCTGGAAAGTACAGTTAAGCTGAAATTCAAGAGGTACAGAAATACAGTGAAACCTTGTTAATACAGTCTCACTAAAGGGCAGGTCAGACCTTCCAAAAAGAATTTTATTATATCGGCTGAAAACAATGCTTTCTGTAGCTATATATTAGTTAAATATTCAAATAATATATATAATATTCAAAAAATAAATATTTTTTTTGGGGCTAAAATCAACATATTTTTTATGGTTATTTATAGAAAATATTGTACTTTATGTGGAAGATTCACGAATTTGTACTCACCATGACGTAATGATATCTAAACAAAACTAATAAAAATGGTTTAAGAAGAAAACCATCAGCAATAATGTTTGTAGCAGTAGGCATGAATTATTATTGGTCCCTGGTTAGCACAGTTTTCTTTCGACATAAACTCTTTATTTTTCTGTTCATTGGAGTGCATGATGACAAGATTTTACAGTAAACATGTAGAAATGAATACGGGAGAGAAAAGAAATGAAAACTATACACCGAGTCCAATGTTGCATATAACTGCCCAGCAGGTTGATAATGATTATGAAATGAATATAATGTTGGATGTCTCAGTGATCAAGAGGAACATATTATGGTCACAGGGTCTTATTTAAATATCAGGTCCCACAACAATAGATGAACTGAGCAGATCAAAAGAATTTTGAATGAATTACATATAAAAGTTCTTACGAAGTAGGAAAGTAAACTGTTCAAGAGAAATAACTCAAATCCTTTAAGAAATGAAAAATGGAAAAGCACAAAAGGCAGAAAACTACCAACTGAATTATTCTTCTTAGCATTCAAAAGCTGCAAACTCCTGCAAAAAGCTCTGGTTGTTTGTCCACTTCTGGATGTTGGTCTTGTTCTGAAATTAGAGTTGTGCATGCAAATCTTTCTTAGAGATATGGCTTATTTGTGTACAGACTGTTGGTTCCTTGTCTCTCAGGTAGATGCACTATCTTTGAAGGAAACACCCCTTATCATACTTCTCGTCCTTTTTAGGACGAAATTTTTCGTTATTTGAAGCCCTACTCTGGCTTTTGCCAGGGGCCGCAATATAGCCTGGCCATAAATATGGTCTAAAGGCTGAATGCGGTTTCTGGGACCTCTCCACAGTGATCCTCACCCATATGGTGGCACATTGTGTCATCGGGTGTTTATCGCTTGTGTGATGTCCTGGTGGGGTAGAAAGTCAGTCAGTCAAACACCCCTTAATTAGTCGATTTTATGTCATGCTTGTTAGGGAAACAGTGGGTCTTTTATTTTCACCTTAAAATGGGGCTCCAGAACTCTCACAGAGAAATGATACAACTGTTATTCTACCAGCGTAAACAAAGATGGGGAAGAGATAATCGATTTTACAATAAGAACACAAAAGTTATGAGAAGCTTTCAATGCACTAGGAAATTGGTGGACATTAAAAAAAAAGTTAAACCTTATACCAAACTAGAACAGTAAATATAATTTCAAATTGCAACTAAAATGATATACGGAATCACTCAAGATCTTGTTGGGGGGAGGGGGCGTTGGGGAAGGTAAATAAATTTCAATGAACTAAAAACTCGGGGGAAAAATATACTGCACCCAAATAAGTTTCATGTTAAGAAAATAAGATAATAGCACAGCTAGAAAGTTCTTTCTCAGGAACCCATAGGTAATAAAATAATAGAAGCTCTCATGGATAAAATAATTAAAGACATAGATTAATAATGTGTGGAGGGCATAGAGTGAGCTACAGGGGTAATAAAAAGATAGAAGGACTTTTCATAAGTTGAGTGAGAGTCAGTGCTTCAGTGAAAGCTAAAACAAAGGATAGAAGAATAAGAAGAAACGCTAGCATTAATAAATTTGTTTAACTACTAAGTCATAAATCTGTTATTTTTTAAAGTTAATTTTGATTGCTAACATTTTAAATTTTAAACTAGAAAGTTCAGTTCTTGGGGTTTGATGAAGTAAATTGTTTTGCTGAATATTTTGTTCAACTGAATACTGAAAATATTGCTCTGTTAATTGTTGAATATTTAAAATGTTGATTGTTAAATATGATGTTCAATTGTTCGGTGTCATCGACGGTAGCAGAAGTTACCAACAGATTAGCAATTGCACACACGATCAATTTTAATCACATGAGGGCACAACCAATTTTGCGAAGACATGCCACGTGCCATTTTATGAATCTACAATTCACAACACAGCACTGATCACAGTCAAAAAACATTCCAAAAAAATCCGCAGCTGACAGTATCATGCCATGCACTCAACTTTCAGTCTACAAAGAGAGCAAAAATGCAGTGCCCATCATCTGGCAGAAGGAAACAAAAATAGCCACAACTCAAAACGGTGACCGTGCCTAGCGTCCATTTTGACCGGAAGCTGACTGTTCAAAAAGCAATGGCAAACTACTGAATAGAAAACTGCCTAGTAAAATTACAGACAGTTATAAATGCTGTGGTTGGTTCTGTAACATCCTGTAAATAATCTGCAACTAACTTTTAATTAACTTTACTGAATGTTTATTATGTTGTTCTGTTGGATGTTGAATATGTTCTAGGTTCTGTTGTTTGTGTCAGAGTTCTGTGTGATTTCTCTGTGATGAAGCACATAAGAAGCAACAATAATGTGCTTTGTGGAAGAATGAATAGACCTAATGTATTTATACTATAAATGACCCTGGCTCCCAGGTCGACCCAGCCTTGAATGGGTGCCAGGTGGAGTCCTGGCAAGTAAAGGTAGCTAGTGTTATGCTGACCACATCACCCACCAAGTACTGATTGGTCTATAAAATATAGATTTAGCCCTATGTGCCCATTATGCCTGAAGGCATGGAAAAGGGTCCTTTACTTTCCTTCTTACTTATATACTATATATATAAACACATACCCCGTCATGCTGTCAATTATAAGAGATATAACTGTCATTTTCTATTATCTCTTTTGCTCACTTTCTATCTCTCTTGCTTTTTTCTCTCCTTTTCTCTCTCTCTCTCTTCCTCACACACACACTCGCTTTCTTTTCTACTGTCTCTGTCTCTCTTTGTCTCTCTCGTTTTGCTCTCTCAAGAACTCGTTGGCTCTTTCCTTCCACACACACACATACACAAACATACACATACAGACACACACACATAGCTGGTTTACATGTGAGCTGGTGAAATACCCTATGTGGTGGTTCTACGTGAGTATAGCCAACTTATTGTGCCCAACTACTTCCATCAATGACAAATTGTGTTTCTGGTGGCGACTGTTGGCTGTGATGCCTCTAACACCTGCCATATGCAATTACTGCATGTGTATATTTCTGAATTGTTCAGACTAATTGTTTGTCCACCAGTTTTTCAAATGCGACCACCAGGAACTGAGCAACTATGGAAAAACCTGATTTCAGTGAAGTTGTGACCTTGTCTAAGATTAAGACTAAGATACATATGCACAAATAGATAAATGACGAAAACAACCTGACTGAATGTCTCCCCTGCGATACTAGTGAGGTTTGTCAGTATTTTGTTAAAATGTTATTAGTGAATGTTGCTTTGTGTCATCTTGTAAACAAAAGCTTTTTTTAAAAGGCTGAATGTGTTGAATCTTTGAGCTTGCAGTTCTTGTCAGTTGTTCCATATGATCATTTGTAGACCCAGTGGGTGAGGATGGATGGTGAACCGGCCACCAGAGAGCACTTGCTTATGGCCCTGGCTGACTTGGACTTCATTCTGATAAGAGCTGCTCATAGCAGGGAAACTGAGGAGGCCGCGTAAGCTTTGAGTCAATGTCATGTTTGTTAAATCGTTTTTGCATTCACTGTCAAACTTATGTATAGTTTCACCACAAAATACCGATGTGTCATGTATTATTCGTTAAGTTCTGTTTGAACTACATTAACTTTAAATAGGCATTTAACACAGAATATTTGCAGATTTTCATTTTCATTGTATTGTTTGTTTTAGTACTCTATGTACGTAAGTTTTAATCCACCAGAACATCACATAAAGCGATAAACACCCGGTGACACAAAGTATTACAGTTCTGGGTTTATTCTGTGTACAATGGTAAGAGGGCCAGAAGTTGACCATGCAGAATATGGACCATAGAATTATCAGAAACTTTAAAAAGTACTTTATACCAGTGAACAAAAAGACCTGATCCAGAGATCTCTTCCTACCCTGACGCCACAAGGCATTCTAGGTGTAGAGAAAAGAAGAAGAAGTGTCTTGTGTTAATTATTATCATGTAGCAGGCCATTTATCACAGGCTCCAATCACAGCTTCACTGAAAGAAAACTGGTCCCACACTGTTTCCCCACCTCTGGCATTTTTTCTGCCTAAGGTCTCTTATGTCTAGTGTCCACCTTTTTGCTGCTCTGCCCCTGAATCTCTATTATAGTACCAGCCTCCATTGTTCACTCCAGGCCATTTTTGTGTGCTCACAAATAAGAAATAACTGTTACATTCACTGCCTTCATTGAACTTTATTTCACTCAAAAATATCAACTGACCATGATGTCTGTGTGGGTTATTTTTACAGAATCAGTGGCATCAGCTTGGACATTGCTGAAAGTCGGGAGACCGGACTAGAAAGAGCATCTTCTGTGGAACAGTGTGCTTGCCCTAGAGGATACAAGGGTCTCTCTTGTGAGGTAATATTGTCTTCATAATCATCAAACTGACAAATCCTAGAATTTATATTACATCATACTGTTACCCATGATGAAGTTTGCCACTTACCCTGCACACTGAAGGTTATTGAAGCCGCAATGGTATAGCGGCTAGACGCTCACCTCCAGATCGGAAGGTTGTTCAGGTCCTGCTGGAACCAGACTTTTTTTTTAAATGACCTTGGCTCCCAGGTCAACCCAGCTTTGAGTGCGTATCAGGTACAGTCCTGGGAAGTAAAGGCTGCTGGCATGATGCTGACCACATAACCCACCAAGTGCCCACTGGTCTCTAAGATATAATGCTAACCCTATATGCCCCATAATGCTTGAAGTTGTGGAAAAGATTCCTTTACTTACTGAAGGTTACTGGCTCATGGACTGCATTGTTCAGTTCACAAGTGCAGTTTTACAGAAATCTCTGGGGATTATCACTTGAGCTACAGAGTTTGTGATTTGTGAAATATCTTGGCAGGTGCCTAGCTGTTCTGTCGAGAATCATAGGGGATACAACCCTCTTAATTTTAAACGTTTACTCTAAGCTTACTGTCTTCTAAAGTACAGCTTGATGAAATGTTCCAAAGATCAGCCCAGTATTCAAGAACTGCAGGAGGTACATTCCACAGATCCACATATCACCCACATTAGAATAGGACTTGTGATACCCTGTGTCATCTTGAGAACCTGGAATGACACCAGGACTGCACTAGGATGTGGGTTTTTTGTTTTGAAATAGGCAGTAATCCTAGCAATAGCCAAAGAAGAATAGTAAACCAGCAGAGAATCGGTGTCATCAGTTGCCACGTGCTGAGGGAGGGACCGAAGATGGGATCTGAGCACAATGGTCTTATACGATATACAATGAGAAGGATTGGTTGATTAACCAACTACAGAGGATTGAACTCAGATGACTATGTTTTTAGACAAATACACAAACAGCTATGCCACTGCAGCACCTGCTATAAAATCCTTTATTTCTGTATCAAATGACTGACCTGGTTGTTGGTCTTTTGTAGGACTGTGACACCGGCTACACGAGGTCAGGTGGAGGTCTGTACCTGGGACTGTGTGAACCCTGCCAGTGTAATGGCCACTCTAGCGAATGTGACCCGGAGACTGGTGTGTGCCGAGTAAGTGTACCAAGTTCTTGTGTGGATAGACAACATGTTGTCATCTCATGTTGCTAGGCTACACATTGTTGTCATCCCACTTTGGTAGGCCACACATTGTTGTCATCTCATGTTGCTAGGCTACACAGTGTTGTTGTCATCCTATGTTTCTAGGCTATACATTGTTGTCATCCCATGTTGCTAGGCTACACATTGTTATCATCCCATGTTGCTAGGCTACACAATGTTGTTGTCATCCCATGCTGCTAGGCTGCACACTGTTGTCATCTCATGTTGCTATGCTGCACATTGTTGTTGTCTAAAGTACCCCTGGTAATGACGATTACTCTTTGAGAATTGTACAGTAGTAGTTGACTTTTGTGATACACTAAGCGCATAAGGTTATTGTTCTTATTATTATTACTTTTGTTGTCAACATCATTTTTATTGTTTTTTTTCAATGTTTTTATCAGTATTGTTGTTTTAATCCTTGTTGTCATTTTATCATTGTTGTTTTTAATTATTACTGTTGCTGATTGTATCATTGTTGTTGTATTTTATCATTACTGTCAATTTTAACATTGTTGTTGTTGTTGTTTTTAATTGCTGCTGTTAAAATTGTTGTTGTTATCGGGGTTGTCTTGTTGTTGTTATCATTATTGTTATCATTGTGTTGTTTTTATCATTGTTGTTTTCATCATAGCTTTTTTTTATATATATATATATTTTATCATTACTTGTTTTGTGGGGTTTTTTTTCAATTGATTTGTTTATTATAAAATTGTTCACTCTTGTAAGATCTGGTGAAACTGAGATCAGAATATAGTCAAGTTGTCACCTAGTGGTGCAGTATCAGCCAGTCTGTCTGCCTGTTCATTTCCAAACACACCTGCATGCCTAGAGAAAATATCTAAAAGACACTAACTACCATGTACGTCTCAAGCAGTGCTTGCCACTTTGAACCTAGCAAGTTTTCTCCAGCTTTCTCATCAAGCTTTGTGAGTCTTTTACTATCATAACGTTTGTGCAGCTGGTCCTCAAGCCAGTTAAAAGCTGCTTTGACTGCCTTCACCTCTATTCTCAAACTGGATCTTGTGGTATAGAATTTTGGTATGAGAACATAGTATGTGAATTGATAATCAGCCCTAGGTAGCAAGGGTTGTGAAGAGGCTTAATCATCCCTGCCTGTCAGTGAGACACTCAGCTGAATGTTTAATGTTGAAATAAGAATTGACATCACATCACTCGGGACACTCCCATAAGCACTCCATCACTATCTTCTGCAGCAAGTGATAAGTTAAAATTCCAATGATACCAGTAACTGTCTGAGTGTATATCCGACTCGCCTTTCCCCTGAGTGCCGAGCGTCGGCCAGATGCCCTTGTAACTCCTCGCAGTGCCATTTTATTCAGACCATAATGATCTATCTGTGCCTCGGCACTGTTCACTCGCTCCCAAAGGGCCCTCACAACATCCAGCTTGTCATACATCAGTTCACTACCAAGTGGTGCAGAACCAGCCAGTCTATCTGCCTGCTCATTTCCCAACACACTGGCATAACCTAGGGAAAATATCTAAAGGATGCTAACTACCCAGGACCTTTTAAGTGATGCTTGCCACTCTGCACAGAGCATACCTGTCTCCATCTTTCTCAACATGCTCTGTGAGTCAGCTACAATGATGGCATGTGTGTACAGCTGATTCTCAAGCCAGCAGAAGGCACTCAGTGATGTTAGTAATGGTAACTGTTTAAATAAAGATGTTACATGTAATTAATTTGTAACTGGTATTTGTCAGCTTATTTTCCCTCCATTAGGCGACATACAGAACAATTCTTTCACTATAAGGTATGTAAAGAAAAGTATTTATTTCCAGAACTGCCGACACAACACACAGGGAGACAACTGCGAACGCTGCTCTAGGGGTTTCTTTGGAGATGCCAGCAGGGGCACAGTCAATGACTGTCAGAAGTGTCCATGTCCATTGACAGAGTCACCTAACCAGTGAGTTGAGGCATTATTTGCTCACTAATGTTATATTTACACAATCTTCTTTGGCCTTTTTTTTTTTTTTGCGGGAGTTGGGTTGGATATATCTCCTGACTGTAAAAGGTAACTTTAAAGTTGCGTGCATCTGCCTGAGAGAAGAGTAACCAGCTGTCTGTATTCAAATAAACCAGATCTGTGAAATTGATGTGCAGGGAAAACTCAAGTTCCGGGACGCAACCAAAATCTAGAACTGGAAGAACAACCAGATCTTTCCACAAGAGTTTACGACCGGTTAATGCCAATAAGAAGAAGCAGAAGATATTTACACACTCTATTGCTTAGATGTTTTGGCATTTTGTAGATGGTATAGTTTTTTTTTCTTTCGTTTTTTTAATTTTAATTATTTTACCTTTATGGCCTGTATTGTTCTTGCTGTCACTGTTATATTTGTCCTCCTTACTATGGCAACTGGTTTATTGGACTTTCTACCACTCCCCCTCTCTCTTGATATCACTTTCTCTCCCTCCACACTTTCCTTGTCTCTCTTACTCTAAATATATTTTCTCCATTTCTCTCTCTTTTTTGCTTGTACTTACTTAATCTCCCCCACCCTACTTGTTACCTCGTCTCTGTTTCTGCCACATATTCAAGTCTGTTATGCCAAAGCTTTCCCACACAAAACTTTTGATCCTCTAAACCAGGTCTAATCAACTTTAGGCCCACAGACCAAATGCAGCCCACAAAGACCTAACAAGTAGCCTACAGATCATTGCCAAAACAGTGATCTTTCTATGCTGGGGCTGAGGCTTCTGTTTGAATATCTGGTTCACTTGGTTGAATAGCCCTACTATACTAAGAGATGATGAAAATATGGGAGTGACTGCAGTCAAGCTAATACAAGGAAAGCCTAACCAAATAGGAAAGCAGAAAAATGTGCACAAAACAACACATATAACGTAACGTTTCGGCCAGGCAGTCTTTGTCAAACATGAAGTGAACTAAACAAAGGTAACAATGGGGAGAGGAGAGTATACAGATCTCTAAGGGGTGATGTGAGCGATATTTTAAAAAATGTGATGTGGAATTAATGCAATAAAGTAAACGATGGCTAAAAAAATATATTCACAAAAAATAAAAGGCAATATTGTTATTATATAATATAATAGTGGGAATAAAAGACATACAAATGTTAATGATAAATAAATGATGCTAATAAGAGATAGAATAAAGTAATAATATGAAATAAACGCAAAAAAAAGAAAATAATTATCATTTAAAATGTGATAAGAGTAAAACTGTTTCGATGAAGGTATGTTGGACATTGATGCCACCTGGACTAAGAACACCTAGGCTGTGAATAAATCGATTTTCTAAAGCAAGGTGTGTGGTATGATCGCCAGAGCAAGATTTTAATGCTGTGACAGATATATCATCTTTACCTCCCTGGTGAGAGCTGTTAAAATAGAGAGGGATTGGTTTAAGTGTTTTCTTATCAATATAGGAGAGGTGTTCCCAGAAACGATCAGCTAGCTTCCTGTCAGTTGACCCAATGTATGCCTTGCTGCATCGTTTGCAAATTATTGCATAAATTACGTTGCAGGATTCCCAAGTAAAATGTTTGGAAAGAACCATTAGGGAAACAAACCGAAGAAGTCTGGACAACGAAAGGACATGTCTTGCATGTGCTGCGGGAGCATTCAGTAGTCCCAAAAGGAAGTGCTGTGTAGATCGTTGTTAGTCGGCTTCTGACAAGTATGTCTTAAAGGTTGCAGTCTCGTCTATAAACTAATCTTGGCTTCTTACTAAAGATAATCTTGGTGTCCAGATCAGAGCAGAGGATGTCTAAATGACGAAACAATACTTTGGAAGCAACCACATTGTTAAGGTGAAAAGTCAAAATCAATTTGGGTCCATTGCTGATGGAATTATGTTTAGTGGAGAAAGCATCTCTCCTGGTGATTGTTAAAACTTTGTTTAGAGCCTCTTGTAGAATGTGTTCCATATAGAAGCTGGCACAAACAAAAATAAAGAATTTCAACTGATTTATCAAAGAAGTCAGAATCACCAGAGCACAACCTGTGCATTTGAAGGAGCTGTGAGTACGGGTGGGTGGGTGGAAGAGAGAGAGAGATAGAGAGAGAGATAGAGAGGGAGGGGGAGAAAGAGAGAGAGGGAGAGGAAGAGAGAGAGAGTTTTTACTTCTTACTGACCAAACACCCATCTGTTTATCTGTACTCAGGTTCAGTCCAGAATGTGTTCTAAGCCCTGATGGACAGGTTACCTGCACTGCCTGTCCTATTGGACACACTGGACGAAGATGTGAAAGGTAAACTCATTATCTGTTAATAATGTACTACAAGTGTAGTTTGCTTGCTGGCTGACCTCTATAAATTGAATAATTTATGTACTGAAGGGCAGAATGTGAGATTGGCCTGCCTCCCCAGTTCTTAACCCTTTGAAAATAAAATGCTGTCCTCAGTTCACTTATTTGTTCATTCCATTTTAACTAAGTAAAAGGACTGTCTGTGGTGCATTATCTTGTTGCAGCCTTGACATATGTGAACCATTTGATCTATTGTTTATTAATGGTTATATCCCAACTGAGGGAGTCACCATGGCAAAGTGGCTAGACGCTTGCGTGCAGATCAGAAGGTCATGGTTGGTTCCTTGGTGGGGGCCAAACTTTTTTTAAAAAATGACCTTGACTCCAAGGTCAACCTAGCCTTGAGTGGGTACTGAGTGCAGTGCCAGGAAGTAAAGACAGCTGACCAAATCACCCATCTTGTGCCAGTTAGTCTATAAAAAAAATAGGTCTAGCCCAATATGCCTTATACACCTAAAGGCGTTGAAAAGGGACCTTAACATTTTTTTTTTTTTTTTTTTTAACTTTTCCATACCAACTTGTTTTCTGATATTGCCATGTCTGGTCTTGTAAATTCTTGTCGCATAAGGAAAATGTTAGTGCAAAAATCCCAGTGGAACATATTCACTGGGTTGATAAACTGAAAATCTAGAGTCAGTGTAATAGCTTTCAGGGCACTCATGTGTGTGTCTCTTTGAGTTGAGTGAGTCAAGAATTGACATCACAGCACTCTGGGGATTCCCATGCATGCTCGGTCCTCATCTTCAGTGACCCATGCAGATTTCCAATACTGATGGTACTGGTCACAATCTGGTTACAAGTCCGTCTTGCCTTTTCTCTGAGTTTAGTGAGCCGGCAAGACCCTCTGGTTACACCCAGGTGCCTCATTCTCTCCAGGCCATAATAATCTTGTTTCTCTGCTGATTCCGTTGCTTGTTCCTAAAGGGCCTTGACCACATCTGCCTTCTCATGCATCAATTCACCAACCAGTGGTGCAGATCCAGCCAATCTGCCTGTTCATTACCCACTACGCAGGCATGGCCTGGAGAAAAGATCCAAAGTATGCTCACTACCCCTAACCTTCCCAGAGTGTGTCTCTTTACAACATACTGCCAACAAAATTTACAAAATAATAAGATAAACTGTTACTGAGTCCCTGCATTTACCACTTTTTCTGTGTAGAAGAGCTGGTCTTTGAACCACAGACTTTGCAGGTTAGGATTTTATTTTTGCCCCTGAAGAAAAAAAAATAACTTCCTGACCTTACTGGGGAATGTAACCTTGGTCTCCTGCATGAGAGTCCAGTTTTCTTAATCATTCAGCCAGCCACACTCAAATAATATGTAATGAAGTGTGGAAATGCTGCCTCCATAAGGCACTGGCTGAGTGGTACTCAGCCTATTTAGATAGTGTCAGTGGTTCTGTTGATTACAAGAGAGAATCATTGTTTATTCATGCAATATTAATTTGATTATAGGATCTGTTCATATCATGATAATGTATTAATAATATGTTCATACAATGTTAATAATTTATTCATATAATGTTTGTATGCTCATTCATGCAATGTTAATTTGTTCATACAGTGTTAATAATATGTTAATACAATGTTAATAATGTGTTCATAGAATGTTAATGTGTTCATTCATAAACTGTTAAAGTGATCATATGATCTTTCTGTAGAACATAGAATGTTAATGTTCATAAAATGTTAATGTTTTCATACAGTATTATTGTGTTCATATAATGTTCATGTGATATGTGATAATACAGTGTTGATTTGTTCGTATTTTGGTAATTTGTCATACAGTGTTAATTTTCTCATACAAATCTGTGGTTTATCTTCTGTTAAAGGTGTGCACCTGGTTACCAGGGTAATCCCAATCAGCCAGGAGACTACTGTAAACTGATTAGTAAGTAGTTTTATGACTGTACTTTTCCTTCTGAGTAAACAAGGCAGGTCGAGAGAGGGATCGTGATGCATGGGCAACATGTGATCTCTACAACACTGCCCAGGCTTTGTGCTATGGAGAGGATGAACTTCATCCTTGCCATAATAGTGCAATATAACACCATCGTCTGGAAAGACGGAAAGGTGCAATCGATCTATGGTTGTAAGCTGACAACTTGTTGTCAAGTGTTTTAAATGTCTCTGTAATTTGCTGGATTATGTAAATTGTTTCTGATGCCTTAGTAACTTGTTTCTTCTACTTAAAGTCCATGCTGTATGGCGCTGGTAGTTATGTCTATACAGCCTGACACAGATGATCCTCTATGCCATGATGTCAAACTGCTCAGCATCTTCTCTCTGTCTCACTCTGCCTCTCTTGCCTTCCAACTTTTCTACTGTCATGATTTACTCCAGTTTTCTCTGTCTCATGATATGATAAAAGAATGTAGATTGTCTCTTTCTGATGAAGGCAATCATTTCAGATTACTGTGTCCAGCTTGCTTCATATTACTGTAAACACTCCAGTAAGTTGTATACAACTGTGTGTCCATTAGCAAGTTTTTTCTCTCTTAAATCTGCAAATATCTGGATGTTTTAATGATCTCATGATTTGCTGATAGCCATTGGGAATAAATCTTTACATTCTTCTTTTTCTTCTTTGCATTCACCAGCTGTAAACTCCGCCAGAAAGTTCTGGGTATTCGTCCACCTCCTGACTTCAGTCTTGTTCCAGAACCTAAGTGTTGCATGCATATCATTTTAAGAGAAGTGCCTTATTTTTATGCAGACTGTTGGTTCCTTGCCTCTCAGCAGATGAACTCTGACTTCAAAGAAGCTCCCAATTAGTCGACTGTTTCAACATGCTTTTGCATCTGTTCTTGTTTTCCCAACAATATGGCCCCAGAATCCACTCAGAGAACTCTTAACATTAAATTTCATCTTCTTTTTAGCATTCATTGGCTTTAAATTCTGACAGCAATTTCTCATTTTTCATCCCCTTCTAGACTTTGGACTTGTTCAAAAATTTAGGTTTTACATGTACATAAGCTTTTCATATGGTTTTTTTTTTTTAATACAGCCTGTTGGTTCCTTGCCTTCCAAGCACTAGTAGTTTGACTTCAGAGCAAACTTTTATTAGTGACCTCCTGTGACTTGCTTGTTAGAGTCTATTCCTTTTCCCCCCAAAAATAGGGCCCCAGAATCCACACAGGGACTTTACCTTCAATAACATTATAGTCCTTGGCCGTGTTTATAAGTTATTGTATGTGACGGTGCCAGCTTGAGAGAGGCAGCCAGCCTGTCTGCTACTGGGAAGATCTGGCATTCAATACTTCCTGAGTTATCTTACCGACTTCTCTAACTCACATTTTTTTTTTATGTAAAAAAGAAATACAATAAATAACTCAATATAGTGTGCATGTTTGAGCCCAGCAACTATATTTCTTTTTCTTCTGCATTCATCTGCAGATGTAATTGTTATTGTGTCCGTTTACTACATGGCTACAATATTTTCGCCTTTTGGCTGACACATCTGACTTCTGCAGGCATTTACTTGTTGATGGAGTTGGCCTTCCCCGCATATAGTTCTGTGACAGATACTTTACTGGGGGTGTGAAATTTTAAACCTTTACATATCATAACAGTGTGTATGTTTGAGCTCTGTTTTCTTCTTCTTAGTGTCTACCAGCTGTAAACTCCAGTGGAAAGTACTGGTTGTTCTTCATCCGCTTCTGGATTTTGGTTTTGTTCCAAAGCCTGAGTTTTGCATGCACATCCGTTTGACAAATCTGGCTTATTTTTATGTGTGTGTGCAGACTTCTGGTTCCTTGCCTCTCATTCAGATGCATTCTGACTTCGAAGGAAACATCCTTAATTATTCTACTCCTGTGACATGCTTGTTAAGGGGCTTTGTATCTATTCTTTTTTGTTCCATATAATGGGGCCCTGGAACTCACATGGGAATGAACCCAGTAAATGTAGTTCTATGACATATACTGCCACTGGGGGGGGGGGTGTAAAATCTTACACCTTCACATATCATAGGTCAGCTAAGGAGGTGGGTGGGGGTGTTGGGAGGTGATCAGATTAAGATGAACTATCCATAATTACATTACTGTTATTGCTGGGTTTTGTCCCTTTTGCTTCTAAACTTGTGATTAACAAATCATTGCAGATGTGACATGTGATTGTGATGGAAGAGGCACTGTGCCCAACACTCTGTGTGACCCCAACACTCAACAGTGTCAGTGTAAGGTAAGCTGGCTTTCAGGCTGAAAATCTGTTTGTGTGACTTCAAGGGGACTGTCAGAATATGTTTTGGATTATTTATGTATTAAAAAAAAACAGCAAACCAAATCATACATATAGCGACAGATCACAGAATACCAAACCAAACCAAATATATAGTGCAGATCACAAAATACCAAATGATTGGCACCTCTCCATCTTTCCAGACTATAGTTTTATATTGCACTATGTGGAGGCATGGGACTCACAGCCTATGGTGATGGTGAGTGTGACTAGCAAGACCTGCCCGTGTCAAGAAAAGTCATACACAATTATAGCTTGGGATTTCAGGACCATTGTTGTCAACATTTGTGTTTAATCTGTTTTTTCTCAGACGTTCAGCTCTCATCCTTTCTGCAATCATTTTTCCCTTCACTTTCGTTCCCTTCCTGATATGCCCTTTCCACACAACACAGTCCATGGCATTTTGTTCCTATGAGTCTACCTCAATACCTGTATCATTCATATCCCATTTGCATGACGTTAGTTCTCTCCATAGCACAAAGCCTGGGCAGTATTGTAGAGACCATGTGTTGCCCATGCATCATGAACCTTCGCTTGACCTGCCTTGTTTACTCCAAACCAAACCAAATATACAGTGCAAACCACAGAATACCAAACCAAATGTATGATGACACACTACAGAATACTAAACCAAATATATGGTGACATTTCATAGAATAGAAAATCAAACCAAATATATGGTGACAAACCACAGAATATTAAACTAAACTAAATATATAGTGACAGACTACAGAATACCAACCAGACCAAATATATACTGTCAGATCGCATAGTATGAGACAAAATATATGGTGACATATCACAGAAACTGAAACCAAACCAAATAAATAGTGATAGATCACAGAATACCGGCCAGACCAAGTATATGGTGACATATCACAGAAAATGAAACCATACCAAATATATGGTGACAAATCACAGAATATGAAAACAAACCAAATATATTGTGACAGACCACAGAATACCTACCAGAACAAATATATACTGACAGATCGCATAATATCAGACAAAATATGTGGTGACAGATCACAGAATGCTGAAGTAAACCAAATACATGGTGACAGACCACAGAAAACTTAATTGCAACACTTCTGAAGTGGTGCTTGCTGCTCTGCACAGAGCATACCTGTCTCTATCTTTCTCAGCATTATTTTTGAGTCTGTTGCAAAAGGATTTTATAGCTACAAAGCTTTCTTACTTTAGAATCATCTCGTCATTAGTTTTGATTAAACTGTACTACTGCTGCTAGTACTACTACAATTACTATTTATTACTCTTCTATTACTATTCATTATTCTACTATTCTCCTACAACCATGTCTTTGCCTATTCTCACTGCCTCATTACTGAAATATATTCATCCATTTGTCGTATATAGAATGATAACTATGAATGTGTTAAATAGCAAGATGTTACTCTCCTGTAGATGTTTATTATGAAATGTTATTGTCTGTATAAAATACTGCTGACCCCTTAGAATAACGTGCAAGGTCGCCGGTGCAGCACATGCAGAGAGGGTTACTTCAACCTGAACAGTGAAAACGAGATGGGATGTCTGAGATGTTTCTGTATGGGCGTCAGTACCAGGTGCTCCAGCTCTAACTACTACAGAGATGAGGTCAGTCTTTGTGGCTATAGTCAATGAGTTTTTGTTTACAGTCTGAAATCATATAGTTTAACTTTTACTTGATATTTGTCCATTTGCGCCGTTACTTTATTTTCTTTTATTTTTTATTTTTTATTTAACATTATTTGATATTTTTTATTTTAACTGTTACTTAAAATTTTTTTTTCATACTGACCGTTGTTGATATTTTGTTCCATTTTTAACTGTTACTTAAAATTTTTTTCATTTTAACCGTTACTTGATATTTTGTTCAATTTTAACTGTTACTTGATATTTTTTCCCATTTTAACTGTTAGTTGATATTTTGTTCCATTTCAACTGTTAATTTATATTTTACCATTTTTTCTATTGATATTTCTCTCCATTTTATCTGTTATTAGATGTTTTTCCCATTTTAACTGCTTCTTTATATTTATCTGTTTTAACCATTACTTGATATTTTTCCCATTTTAACTGTTACATGAGCTGGGTTTAGAACCCCTATAATAGCACTCAGTAGCATCATTATGGAAATTCTTCGCTGGCTGTTGCGGAGGGAGATGGCATTAATATGGGCTTGTCTTGAATGGTGTAATGTTGAACCTTTACTCACATTGAACAAGCAAGTTCAAGCACTACTTTAACTACAATATCACCCCCCCCCCCCACCCCCCCCCTCCCGTGCGGGGTCCGGGGCCCCAAGGGAACACAAGAACTAATTTGGAGTTTCCTTCGAAGTTAGAGTGCATCTGCCTGAGTGTCAAGGAACCAGCAGTCTGCACTCAAATGTGTCAGATCTGTCAATCGGATGCACACGCAACACTCAGGCTCTCAAGTGGACCAAAAAACCAGAACTCTCCGCCAGAGTTTGCAGCTGGTGAACGCAAAGAAGAAGAAGAAGACTGGAATATTTATTGCTTGCTTTTTTTGTTTTGTTTTTTATGCATGTGGAGAACAGAGAGAAGCTGTCCCAGTAATTATAAGAATAAATTTAATAACAAAACTAAATGTGAGGTATAGAGTCTCACACTCATCATCATCAAGTGCCGTGCCGGCCGGCATAAGTAATCATGCCTGTCTACAACATGTGATTTCCAACAGAATATATAAGATCATTTGCTGAAACCCCTCCATGCTGCGACAAAAGTTTGGCAGGAATCTTCTCACATTGTCTTCCTCTATTTCTGCTTCCATAAATCTTTCTAGTATACAGTAAATGGAGGATTCATTTCATGCCTGTAATGCATCAAGTATCTTGTGACTGTCCCATATTTTTAAAGACTGATTGGCACTCAGTGGATTAGTGGTCAGTGATTAGTGAAGACTATCATTACAGCACTCCGATCAGATCCATAGGTGCTCCGGTCTCCTTCTCAGCAGCTCCACAAGAGTAAACGACTGATCATGCCCGTTCTGTGTTGATTAACAAGGTGCCTTGTGCCTTTGGTGAAGTGCTCATACCTGGCTGTTTCAGGTCGCACCCTCATGTCCACATGTCCACCAACATGGACAAGGATATTGAGTCCTGCTTGGTTTTGTGCTCATACCTGGCTGCTTCAGGTCACACCCACACGTCCACCAACATTTAATGAGAGAATCCATTCATGTCTGATGAAACTGGCTTGGATTTTCCTGAGCATATTCATTGAATCACTCTGTATGCATGCATGTGTGAATTCTTGAGTCCCCAGCCATATCAATAAGTAAGTAAAGTAAAAATCCATTTTCGCGCCTTAGGCGTATCGGGTATATCAGATATAAATATTTTTACAGACCATCGGCACTAGGTGGGTAATGTAGTCAGAATTACGCCAGCACTCTTTACTTCCCCAGGACAACCATCCTGGTACCCATTTTAGGCTGGGTCAACCTGCGACGCCCCATACCATGATAAACATCTACGCAGCAAGCAGTGGGTTTCTTTGGAATTACGAGTCAGACTCACAACGCCTAAGCCACAGATGCCACAGCCATGTCAATAGATGATGTTTTAATGGCAACTTTACTTACAAGGACAATTCCTGGTACAAATTGTAGGCTGGGTTGACCTGGAGGCCAACATCCTTTATAACAAATGAACCTTAGTGTGTATTTCAACCAAAGACCTTCAGGACGGCAGGCAAGTGTCTAACCATTGCACCATCCAGGCTCCCATGGTAGAGGGACGATTTATAAAACTGAATCAGCTGACATGACTTGATGAGGCTGAAATGTAATTATGTCATTAATTATGTATCCTTATCTATCAGATTGTCCCCATGCTGAACTCTGACGGCACCCACAACTTCCAGCTGACCAACCGCAGGCTGTCCCGAACCATCACCGATGGCTTCAACATTAATGCAGACCGTAATGAGATCACATTCAGAAACTTTGGAGGCATTCAGAGAGAGCAGGAGAGTTTGTTCTTTTCTCTTCCACCTAAGTTTAGAGGTGACAAGGTATGGATGTGTTTTGTTTGTTCTACACTGTTTTAAAATGGGGTATATGCAAGCAGTAAACACAGACTGTGTGTAGTTTATAAATTATCTCAGGCTATATAGAAGAGCTACAGGTGTTACAAGAAGAGAAAAAAAATTAAAAATGAAGAAGTTAAAAGAACACTGTGCGTGAAACCAGCCATACACTCTACTAAGGAGCAACAGATAAGAGAGTTTGGCCATCTGATGAAAATTATTTAGTACCAACTGCCACAGAGAGCCACACTTAATGTTGAATGTTGAATTAAGAATCAACACCACAGCACTTGGGACACTCCCATAAGTGCTCAGTCCCCATTCTCAGTGGGACAAACCAAAAGAATATTTCAGTCATGCAAGAGTTAACTGCATCTTTCTGGTTGAAACAATTGCCCATTTTAAATAAATATAGATGCGGGAATAGTGGTAAATGTACGGCGGCGTTAAGAAGCATATAAGTTATGATGTTTTTCTTAGTTGTTAATAGGAAACAAAACCTAGATCTCGTCATTCATTGCTACATCAAACGACCGTCCCAGGCTTTACAACAGCTTAGCTGAAAATATATAAGAATACTGCAAATTGAGGTTCCCTATACCCACCCTAGATTACCAACACTGTTGAACAAAAAGACTGAGATTGAGAATTTAACTGAACAGATTATACTTTTAGGAAAAGCAATGGGCTACTGAGGTTGCTAGGAAAGCTATGGGCTACTGAGGTTGCTAGGAAAGCTATGGGCTACTGAGGTTGCTAGGAAAGCTATGGGCTACTGAGGTTGTTAGGAAAGCTATGGGCTACTGAGGTTGTTAGGAAAGCTATGGGCTACTGAGGTTGCTAGGAAAGCTATGGGCTACTGAGGTTGCTAGGAAAGCTATGGGCTACTGAGGTTGCTAGGAAAGCTATGGGCTACTGAGGTTGTTAGGAAAGCTATGGGCTACTGGGGTTGTTAGGAAAGCTATGGGCTACTGGGGTTGTTAGGAAAGCTATGGGCTACTGAGGTTGTTAGGAAAGCTATGGGCTACTGAGGTTGCTAGGAAAGTTATGGGCTACTGAGGTTGTTAGGAAAGCTATGGGCTACTGAGGTTGTTAGGAAAGCTATGGGCTACTGAGGTTGTTAGGAAAGCTATGGGCTACTGAGGTTGTTAGGAAAGCTATGGGCTACTGAGGTTGTTAGGAAAGCTATGGGTTACTGAGGTTGCTAGTAATATTGTTTTGAACATCAGCAGACACCATGTACTGATTTATCCACAAATTGAATATTCGCCAAGGAATGCTGTAATTCACCCGAATGAACTTAAAGCTGAATGACGTTTGGGATTGATTTTGATTGCTTCGGTGTTAAATGATGTTTATTGAATTGTTGATTAATTGAAAGGGATATTCTGGGTGGGGTTGTGTCAATAAATATGTCTATTTCGTATAACCCAACTATTGGATTAGGTAATTGGTATCTGTCACATAAATGGCTATAAAATCATTATTATGCAGAACACATTTGGTAAAACATTGGAAAACACAATAGCGAGAAGACCAGCTAGCCATCTTGAAATACATCAGCTGCTACCCTCCACACTTGGAGGATACAAACAAAACACTGAAACATGGCATAATGCTGCCATCTTTGCACATAACGCATTTGAAAGTTTTCAAGCTAGATTTGAAATATTTGCAGTCGCTATAGATCTGGAGGAGGCATACCACACAGTTCCCTTCCACCAACTAATGTGTCAGTTAACTGAACTCAAAATCCCCCTCCCCCGACATCTCATTCGATGGATATCTGCCGCACTTTTCCAGAGGAAGGCTTCCATGTGGTAGTTGGTCTTCTGAGCCGATAACAATACATCCTGCTTTGCCATAGGTTTCTCCATTGTCTCCTATCATCTTCAACATTTACACAGTCAAGATCGCAGGAGAACAACTGAGTGGCAGAGGAAGAACTATATCATATGTGGATGACATCCTTGTGTACCGAAAGGGTAGGAACAGAGATGAAGAGATGACATTGTTTTGGATCTACAACATGAATTAGATCGCATATCATCCTGGTGAATATGATTTTAAAAAATCCAAGCTGGATTTATCAGGCAAGAATGGATTGCAACACTAAGCACTTCGCGGATATCTGCCCTAACCTTCACCTTTGTGCCAGGTCATGAGGGTGTGCAACAAAATGAGCGTGCAGACTATCTTGATGACACTGTGGCTGCTATGGCTGGCCCAGTACTGGACAGAAGTGATGTTATCAATGCTATGCGCTGCACTTACCTTACCAAGGAGCACGCCAAAAGACATGACTCCATATCCCTGTCTAGACTGATGGACATGGGGATGTAGCCTGGAGCTGCAAGAAATTAACGTTTCACTAAGAGGACAAGACGTTTCATTAACCAACACAGAACAGGTGTCATCAGTCATTTTATACTTGTGGAGCTTTTGAGAAGGAGGTCGAAGCACATTTTTATAGATCTGTCCGGAGTGCTCTGATGATAATCCTATCTAATCACTGATCACTATGAAACCCTATGCACTTTGTCTGCCCTTCAACACAGAGCCACCTGCATAGATAATCACATCACCTGGGCAGGAATTGTCATGAATCATTTGTTGAACTTCTGATTCTGATGCACCAGCTGGCCAGTCTCTGCACTCCTGACCTGACGTGATTAGAACCCTACACCTTGACCTACTCCTCGCCTCGCTCAAAATTATCAAGCCTGCACAAGAACCACACTGAAGAAATCTAATGGCCACTGAGCAAGGGAGAGACCATGCAGGAACAGCCTTAAAGAAGTAAAGACCATATTATTCAATGCATTTAAAAGAGCACACAGAAAATCCTTACATATTCCCTGAAAACCTTGACAAATTCAATAGAGAAAGAGAAGAAGAAGGAAAGACTGTTTACATTTTCTCATGTTGTGTGAAGAATATATACATTTTCTCATGTCATATGCTATTGATGGCATACATTTTCTGAGGTTGTCAGTAAATATACATTTTTCTATGACTAAATAGAATAAAATGTTCTCAAGTCATACACATGGTATACATTTTTCAGGTTGATGGTAGAATATATGTTTTCTCATATTGTATGTAGAGTGTGTTCATCATGTCTCTACATGAGCACAGCCTACTCTATATGTTATATATGACTATATCTAGGAAGAGAAAAACCTTTACTATTATGTCTAATATGTGCTTCCTACCTTTGATCAGATATCATCATATGGAGGCAGCCTCAAGTTTGGTCTCTCATACACAACATCTTATGACAGTGGACGAGAGTACATGGATGTCGATGTGGAGATCATTGTAAGTATGTGGTTTCAGTTGTCCCTTTCCATGCGTGGGTTCTGGGGGGGCCCCATTTTTGGACAGAGAAAACAAATTAGACTCACTGCTCCTGCTTCCTAATAAACATGTCATAAAAGACTACTAATTAGGACAAACGTTAAACACGTCTAATTCCAAAAATGTATGAACAACCAAAACTTGTCATTATAAGTTACAGCCCCTTAGTGTAAACTCTGTAGTTCCTTGCTCTATCTAGGGACAGAATTGTACACTTATTTCCATAGATTTTCAACTGCTTGAAATGTCTTTCACACTTGTCTATTACCCTATCTCCCTCTACTGCTGAAAGAATAAGACCCATGTGACTCCAGAAACATGTTTTGCAGCTAGAGCAGAAGAGTACAGACTGCTTTTTCAGACATATTTATGAGATGAGGTAGCTAGTTTCTTCAGGAGTTTTCCCTTCTGGAAAAAAAATAACCTGCCCCTCCCTGAGTATCCACAATGAATGACCAGAACATATCCATTTTGTGAAGACAAGACTGGTAGATAAGTGGAGCTGCATACAGCCATCTTATATCTTCCTGCTCGTTATTTTCCACTGAGTCCTCTGTTTAATTTCCTAAAATACTTTTTTTGTAACTTTTATAGTGGCCAGCAATTAACCCATCCACTTTGAAAGGACTGTCCCTGAACTGCAAGAGTAAGTTAACTATAGGACATCCTACTTCTGACTCACAAAACACTTTTTCATGACAATGTGACGTCACACCACCTGCCGATCTCACCAGGTGATAGTCTCCTCAAATAAGTAGGACATAATAATCTCCGCTTTGACAAAATGTTACCATTACATTTAAAAAGAGGAGGCAAATAAGGAAAGAAATAAAAATTCAGGAAGAAACTATTGCAGATAGGAGAAGAGCTGAACATCTGAGAAGAGAAACCCCACCTACAAATGATGGCAACAGTAGTCTTGAAATACGATGCTATAATTGTGGAAAACTTTTCGGCTCTTTTAAAAAAAATGGTCCCAAATTATTGAGGTTAAAAACTAACTTTAACGGTACCTCATAATGTTCTACCGATTGATGAACTGGCAGTTGTGGATGTTAGACCTTCCGACTTTTATATATATATATATATATATTGAATAAATAACTACACTGGTTGCAATTGTTTAGAGTTAATGTCAGGAATGGGTAACCATAATCCTAACCAGTTCATCAATTGGTAGAACATTATTGCTAATCTGTGTTGGAACTGATGGTCTGCCTGCCATCCAAATTTCACATATGATTGAGGCACTGTTAGGTATGTTTTTAACCTCGATAATTTGGGACTGTTATTTGAAGGAGAGCCGACTTTTCTAAACATGGGTGGGTCTTGCTAGTCACATTCACCATCACCATGGGCTGTGAGTATAATGCACAGTATAAGTTTATCGTTTGAAAAGATGGAAAGGTGCCAAGAGGCAAAAGAATATTCACATGTTTGTGGATTAAGATGCATACTAGCCTACCTGACAGATTTTATCTTACTTTATAAGGGTTGTTGTAATTGTAATGGTCTTGTGCAGACCTTTATATATATATATATATATATATATATATATATATATATATATATATATATATATATATATATATATATATATATATATATATATATATATATATATATATATATACATATATATATATATATATATATATATATATATATATACTAGCTGTACCCGGCCACACATTGCTGTGGCGTAATTTGAGATAGTCTTTGATCCCCCCCACCCCCCCACAACTAAATCCACCTAGTACCCTCTCCCTCATCAAAGGTTTTTAGAAAAGAAAGACAATGGAAATCGCACGTGTCTAATGAAGTTAATGACGCAGTCAATGTCTGCGCCGACGTCGAGATAGTCCTTGATTGCCCCCCCCATCGAAGGTTGTTTGAAAAAAAAAAAAGAAAATAGAAATCGTGTTTAATATGGTTATTGTGGCAAATATAGAGATAGTCTTGTTTGCGGTACCACGACCTACTCTATGTATTAGTATTAGAGAAGGCGTTGGCTGCACGTAACTCGCCGGCGAATGGTAAATACGGCGCATGCGCAATTACTAACGTGGCTATAATTAGAAATCACTAAAGTTATAAATATTAGTTGCATATATTTTGGCATAAATTGTGGTCACCTATCTCTAACAGTGACAGGTTGAATTTCAAACCACGACGGTTCAAAATCCGGTATCACAACAAACATATCCTGAAAATTTCAGCTAAATCGGCTCAGTAGTTTCCGAGTCAATAGAGGCCAAACAAACACACAAACATTGATTTTTATATATATAGATATATAGATAGGTAGTCTGGTTTCCAACTTTAGAACACGCACCATATAATTGTGTCTTTATATTAGTGGTCGTTTAAATGATGTTATTAGCACGGTAACAAAAGTGGTTATTTGGTTATCACATGCTAAAGCTGTATGTATTTTTATAGGAGACGGAATTAAAGATACAACTGTACTTGTAAATAACAAAGTAAGTCGTGAAAAATAGAAAAGCGGAGGTAGCGTTAGTAAAATATAAACAAATTAGGTAATGAGAACTTGAAAATCACGTGTAAAGCTCTTTAAGTTCTCTTAAATTTAAGTCTTTACCCCCCTCCCCTCTTCCACCGACTACTGCTCTCTCCCTCTTAGAAGGATTTGAAAATCACTAACTGGCGATATTTTGTTGTTGCTGTAACTGACATTGACATCCCTGTCCATCTGGACTAAAATAAGGAGCAGGAATTGTAAAAGGTAGTGAATAGGGCTAGTGAAATATTTACCACATCATCCTTCAAGTACCAGTACAACTACTAAAATAATGTCACTGCTATCTGTGTTACCATCGGAGTAGACAGAGAGTCGTGAGCCAGAAGATTTGGTTCCGCATGGCTAGTGCTGTCGCCACAGACTGGTCAGGTTAGGATGTATAATTTCACTTGCCGACAGAAGAACGCCATAACCTTACCAGCGGTCTTCACATGAGAGCACTATGGTGTAACAGCCCAACCACAACTATTACTGCTGCTGCTACTTTAAGTGGGTAAAGCAGTTGCTGTGACTTAAAGCTCTCTCAGTTAACAGTTCCCCCCCCCCCCCCCCCAAATTCACCGACAACTCTTTCCCACATTGAAGTAGTTGAAAAAAAAAAACACTTGAAAAGCAAATGAACACAGGAAAAAAACACCATAATTAGGAAATGAACGCCATTGTAAACAGCACAGCTTAAAATTCCAACACAGATGAAATAACTAAATCTAAATGAAAATCTATAAAATTTCAGCGTAACCATACAATCGGAAAGTTTAACAATGCAATCATAAGTATGCGAAATGGTCAAATTTAATTATCAAATGGTTTACCCATTTACTTTTTTTTTTTTTTTTTTAATATTAAGGCAACATGGCTAGTGCTGTCACCACGACAGAGCAGATGAGGATATTATTTTAGTCCGGGGTAAAAAAAAAAATTTAACTACTGCGGATTCGAACCGAGGTCTACCGCACTTGAACCCAGTGTTCTAACCATTCGACCAAGCAGCCACTTAATCGGAATAACGAAAAGAGAACACAACTATTAGACATATGTGTCCCTACCACTGTGTCGCGATTAAAACACAATTCAAAACCGCAGGCAATTGTTTTCTCGTAGACAGATACTCAGATATATTAATGAAATAGAAATCGCACGTGTCTAACACGGTTAATGAAGTTAATGTCGCAGTCACTGTCTGCGCCGACGTCGAGATAGTCCTCAATTGCGCCCCCCCCCCCCCCCCCCCCCCCCCATCGAAGGTTGTTTGGAAAAAAAAACAGAAAATAGAAATCGTGTTTAATATGGTTATTGTGGCAAATATAGAGATAGTCTTGTTTGCTGTACCACGACCTACTCTATGTATTAGTATTAGAGAAGGCGTTGGCTGCACGTAACTCGCCGGCGAATGGTAAATACGGCGCATGCGCAATTACTAACGTGGCTATAATTAGAAATCACTAAAGTTATAAATATTAGTTGCGTATATTTTGGCATAAATTGTGGTCACCTATCTCTAACAGTGACAGGTTGAATTTCAAACCACGACGGTTCAAAATCCGGTATCACAACAAACATATCCTGAAAATGTCAGCTAAATCGGTTCAGTAGTTTCCGAGTCTATAGAGACCAAACAAACACACAAACATTAATTTATATATATATATATATATATATATATATATATATATATATATATATATATATAATATATATATATATATATATATATATATATATATATATATATATATATATATATATATATATATATATATATATATATATATATATATATATATATATATATATATATATATGCGTAGAGCTCAAAAACCAATTAAGTTTGACTGGTATCTGATTTTATAAGCAGAAGTTCACTGTGTATAAGCAGCCATGTTCCTCATGTTAGTTCATCAGAGGGGAAGTTTGCAGATGAAAAATATCACACTTTTACGAAGAAGTCATGAATTACAGTACACTGACAGCATTTCTCTAGTGAGGAAAATACTAATTAGTCGACAGATTATCCTCATTGCACATTGAACCATTCAGTCAATAAATGCTCAGATACCCTCCTCAGTAAATCTCATTGCATGCAATGGCTGATGACACCAGTCCTGTGTTGGTTCTTATTCTTTGGCTTCCTACATAGTGCTCTTGTCTGGCCACACCCCTTTTAGCATGCTGTTCTTACAGTCTGGTCATGGTTGCAGATTCAGTTATCACTTGCTTCTCGCAAAAGTCTTACTTCTCGAAGAGCATTCAGTATATCAGCCTGGTCCAAGGCACATTCGCCCTCCACAGTGACATTACCTGCAGGCCTATCAGCTTGCTCATTTTCTTGCACACTTGTTTGCCCTGACATCAATAGGAAACATATGTGTCAGCCCTGACCACTTTAGAGACTCCAACCACTCTCTTCGGACCCAGACTGAGCGGGAAAAACAATGACACAGCCTAAACTGTAATCCATTTTTTTAACATGTTAACAGAGACAAATCGAATATGTATTTCATTTACTGGCATTGAAGATAAACAATAAAGTGTGTAGTTATTTCTCCTGTTGTGTTTTTAATGATGAGATATCTCAGAACTGCCAGACTGGTGGTCTAGGAATGAGAAGATTCTGCCCACAGTTGCAGTGAATATAACGCCTCAATAACCCTTAGGTTGCTGCAAGAAGAAAACACAATAATTATCACCAAATGTGCTTAACATTTCCACAGGGCAAACAAGATAAGAGAATGTACTACCTCCACCGACCATCACCGAAAGCAAGAGAGTCTTACTCATATGACATCCTTCTGACTGAGGTGAGGCTCGGTCTATGTCTCGCTGTATATCTGTGTAGTCTTTTTTTTTAAAATTAATTCCACACCTGTACCCAGACTATTATATCCAGACAACCATGCCAAGAGAACTGTATCCAGACAATTGTACCAAGACAGTTGTGCCAAGTTAACTATACCCAGACAACTGTACCTAGACACCTGTGCCTAGACAGTTGTACCCAGACAACTGTGCCTAGACAGCTGTACCTAGACACCTGTGCCTAGATAGCTGTACCCAGACAACTGTGCCTAGACAGCTGTACCCAGACAGCTGCACCTGGACAATTTTACCCAGACAACTTTCACAGACACCTGTACCTAGATAACTGAACCTAGACAACTGGGCTCAGAAAACTGTACCCAGACACCTGAGCGTAGACAACTGGACCCAGAAAACTGTACCAAGACATGTGTACCTAGACAACTATGCCTGGACATCTGTTGTACATTGGTTTTCTTTTTTCTTCTACATGCAGAGCTCATTCAGGAATCTGATGGATGGGCAGACGCCATCAAGGGAAGCCTTTTTGACGGTGCTGGCTGACATCGAGGCTATTCTCATCAGGGCCACTTACCACACGGTCATGGACACGGTGACCTTGAGTGACCTGCGCATGGAGATTGCTGTCCCCAGACCCACAGGACAGCGACCCGCCCCAGAAGTGGAGAGCTGTGTGTGTCCAGAGGGATACACTGGTTTGTCTTGCCAGGTATTTGAGATTGTGGCAGTTTGCATTATCAATGTTGCAGTAAATACTTCAGCATTCTTCCTTTCTTTTTTCTTTTTGTTCACCGGCTGTAAACTTGAGCAGAAAGTTTAGGTTGTCCATCCATGTCTGGACTTGTCTTGTTTCAAAACCAGAGTGTTGAGTGCACATCCATTTTACAGATGTGGCTTATCTTGTGCAGACTGTTGGTTCCTTGCATTTCAGGCAGATGCACTTTGGAGGAAGCCCCTCTTACTCTTAAACATGCTTGTTGGGGAGTCGGTGTGTCTATTCTTATTTGTCCCCACACTGGGGCCCCAGAACTCATACTGGGACTTCAACATTCAGCAACTATTGATTTATTGACAAACTAAACTGTGTGTTGCTTTTTGTGACTACATGTTCTGAATTTAAACATTCAAGCTATTGATATCAATCAGTTTAGTTGGAAGTGCTTACTTTAGCCAAACTCAAACTCAATACAGGTGTTCATAATCTGAATTTGATAAATTTAGTTTATGTTCCTAGTTCTGTCCAGTTCTCTGTAGGCCTTTGTAAAGTGGGTTTGACCCACTTGCTGATATATATATATATATATATATATATATATATATATATATATATGGGGGTGGGAGCTTCAGATTAAAACCTTTAAAGCATGTAAGAAATTACAGTAACCATGTCATTGTTTTATAACCTGACAATATTGTTAAGGGTGTTAAGAGTGTTAAGCATGTGACATCAGGGTGCAGACAAATATGATGACTTTATAATGACAGCTTAAAGATAGCCACCCAAATTTTGACAGGCAAGGAAGAAAAGCAGCATTCAGTTTTTTTTTTTTTTTAAATAAATCAATGCATATAGAAATTTATTGCCAAATGAAGACCAGAATTTTGATGCAAGCTTATTTGTCCAACAAGTGTATGAGTGGAGTAGGCAGTTTCAAAACAGCATTACTTCTGTGATAAACTGTTCAGAACCAACCCTGTTATACTATAACTGACTTACAAAGCATGATTTGTAAAATAACATTGTTCATTGTTGATTGTTCATTCAATGATCATCTTCATCTCACATCGGACATGACCATTAGTGCTTCGATCTCCAGGTGTTTTTAGACTAACAACTCCCATTCTGTTCTGGCTAATGTAACAAGGTGTGGTTTTCCTGTCTCACTGCTTCAATGGGTACACCTAGAGTATGCAGTCTATTTTCCATGAAACTGAAAGCCTCACAGCATTTAGTCTCTCGTATGGCATTGGGAATGACTCTCCTGTCCTCAGATGGCCCATTCCTGATAGTCACACTGCCAGCCAAGGCATTTGCTCTCTCATTGCCTTTCACGCCAGCATAACCTGGGACCAAAATTGTGATTTTGTGAAACTCTGCATTTTTCCTAAGACATTCTGGTGCCAATGGTAATTAGCATGCTGATAGATTAGATGCTGTCACACCTCTAGGTGGTAAGCTTCTTTATAATAAAGGGCATGTTGTGAGGACTCTCTTGGATCAAGTAAACAGTGTAGCAGAATAGATAAAGCATCCTTGTCTGGAAAGAAGGATTCAGCTGAGAATGAACAGAGGGTCTAGACAATTTTCTACTTGCAGGTGGGAAAAAAAGGCAAACTTTTAATACGGTCGCGACTGGAACATCGATTTGGAAACTCTTCACTGGCTACTGAAAAAGGGGACAGAGCATGTATGGGAATGCTCTGAGTTCAGTGATGTCACTTCTTAATTCATTCATTTGTCCTACTCAGTTGTATGTAAAGATGTATGTATACAAAGAATAATTGATTGATCTAGTGTTAGTATTTAATGCTCATGTGGTTTATAAGGCTCTATTTTCACTGTGTCATGTCATTAGGAATGTGCTGGTGGCTATCTGAGAGTGGAAGACAGTGGAACAGCCATCGGCCGCTGTGTCAGGTGTAGCTGCAATGGGCATGCAACAAGTTGTGACCCAGAGACTGGAGTCTGCCAGGTTAGAGAACATGACTGACATGTATTTTGAACAGGCAGAGAAGCTTCTTCTTCTTTCTACTTTTGTCCTACTGCTTATGCTGTAAAGAATTACAGAGAAGAGTTAGATGTAGTTTCCTGTCTTTTGCTAGTTGCATAGCTAGTTTTAATGTCATACTGTATTTATGTAGTGATTCTTTAACTCCCTCCACCCATCTCTTTCTTGGTCTGCCTCTTGCCTTGTAGCCTGTGGTTCTCACGCATTACTCTCAAGCTGCTGTCTGATTTTGTTCCATTCCAACCAGTTGACCAAACCATTTGATTCTTTCATGTTCTATAGAATAATTGCCGCAGAGAAACAGCTGTTCATAAAGAAACATCTTGACAAAAATATGTAAGATTTAAAATTTCTTCGACTACTTTTTTCTTCTATTCCTCCTCTTCTTGTTGTTGTTACTTGTTCGTCCTAGAAGGGGTATTGGTTATGTCATCTTGTTTCTGTGAAGCTGTGTTTTTAAATGCTAAATAGAGCCACTTTTAGCACATGGTAATGAGTTGTCAACAATTAGTAAATCTGTCAATTTTTTGAGACCTCAAAGGTGTGGTTTTAAAACATAATCTTTAAAATTCTATATAAATCCAATCCAGGTGTAATCTAGATGTAATCTAGATGTAATCTAGATGTAATCTAGATGTTATGAAAGAGGCCAGAGCTTAAAGACAACTTACCGCAAACATCAGAAAGAGACATATTTTTTTTTTTTTTTTAAGAAGAGAGAAACCAGAATTTGTGATGACTGGAAACATTTCTGGAGAGAGAGATAGAGGAAAAGAATCTGAGAAGACTCTTTACATCTTTTTTTGTCAAGGCATGGAAGGGGGTGTCAGCACATGAACTGTAACATGTTGTTGCAGATTGCAAGTTGTGGAGAGGCATGATTTGCTGACAAGGCACTTGATGATGATATTTACACCATTCAGAGGACACATACAAAATCATCTTGTTCTTGTTCATCTCTCGTATATTATTGTTATTAATTACTAGTTTTATCGGCAAGACTATTATAGATTGTCAGCACCCATTGGCTTTGAGGTTGAGAACGTACTTCGTAATTATGGGATACCCAGCTCTATTCCAGCTACTGGTGATTTGGCAGCAGACTGATCTGCATTGATTTCACCAATGTTATCGACAGTCGACCATTCAGAGAGTAGTGGCAAACTACTGAATGTAAAATTAGCTAGTAAAACCAAACAGGTGCTTGTTCTGCAATATCCTTTAAAAGATACAAAACTAGCCTTAAAAAAAATTATTATTATAATTCAGAACCAACATGAGCAACCGTTGAGTTCAACCATAAGTGCTCAGTCTCCTAAAATGCTATGTACTCTTGATTACTCCTGCAGTATTATATTGACACTATATACATGCTTTTAAAAAGCATTAGAGAGACAGTTGGAACAACACTGTGTCTGAATTTTATTGCCAGACAAAGAATGATGAAATAGTTTGGCCCCCTAGTGAGAATGCAGCCAGACCAAACAAAATATGACACTTTTCACAGCAAGAACATCTGGGAAGAACGTGAGGGAAAGATCAAGAAAGAGATGGATAAATGGTGTAGCTGAAACCTGCAAAAAAAAAGATGAACAAGTCCATCATTCAAACCACCCAAGATGCGAAAGACTTACTTACTTACTTAGTCGCTCCTCTTCTACCTTGGGGTGTAGAGGTTTGCCAGAGAGATCGCCAGACGTCTCTATCAGCAGTTTTCTTTCTGGCTTTGTTCCATTCCAGTCTTCTGTCAGTCAGGGACTGTCGGATGTTGTCTTCCCAGCGCACCCTGGGTCGTCCCAGAGGTCTGGTTCCCTGGTTCTTAGGGGCTGCCTCCTTGCGGCCTCCATGCAGGCCGTCTGGCTGATTCACGGTTACCCACTACTTCCGGAGACGCATGAAGCACTCAGGTTCAGCCAGACCCTCCTCCTTTTACAGCCGGGCTTGGGACCGGTCTTAGCGGAGTTAGATGCGAAAGACAAATACAGAAAACCATAGCACTGGGCTACAATCTAGAATCAGTGACATGATAAAAAGAAGATGCATTCTACTATGCAGTCAGAATGGATGAGACCAGACTCCTCTGTCAAGCCCTCAAATGGACACTGGAAAGGAAAAGAAAATGGGGAGGACCAAGAGAGACACTGCTTAGAACCATCATCAGGGAAGGCTCCCCCATGGGTCTATTTAACATCTAAGACCTAAAACAGGTGGCATCGAACCGCCAGACATGGAGAGCTATGACCTCTGCCCTATGCACCTCTCTAGGCTCAAGAGGAAATACTAATTAACTAACATTCTATTATCAGTTGGAGATAGTATTTTGTGGATTTCCTCATAGTTAAATCTGGTTTTGTTGTTGTTGTTGTTTGCTAGAACTGTCAACACAACACAGTGGGTGACAGATGTGAACGCTGTGCTCCAGGCTTCTATGGAGATCCTGCAGCCGGCACTGCTTATGACTGCAGGCCCTGCCCTTGTCCACTGACCATACCCTCCAACCAGTGAGTACAATATTCAGCCATCCTGTCATGTATTCTTCATTATTTGTCTTAATAATATTTATCTGGATATTAAGGAGTGAAGAAGTGCAGTGCTTACCTCTGACTTGAAGATTGATAGTTTGAATCCAGATGAGCTTTGTATATCAACTGATTCAAAGGAAGCAATATATCTTATTCTAACCTGTGAGTAGTGAATTTCCTACCAGTCTTTCTCAGAAAAGGGAAACTGCAGAATCATGTGTTCAGAAAAACTGAAACTGCAGAATCATAGTTCAGAAAAAGGGCAACTGCAAAATCATGTGTTCAGAGAAGAGGCAACTGGAGAATTATGTGTTTAGAAAATGCAACAGTTTTCATGTCTGCTCTACTTAGAGATAGTAGCAGCAAAGGTGAGGACTGTATGTATGTAGTCTTTTTTTTTTCTTCAGTTGCTCTTTTGCTGATTTTAGTGTCAAGGGGGATATAATAATTTGCTTCTTGCTCCTCGAGCTGCCACGACATGTGGTTAAAGAGTTTCTCTGATGTTATCTTCATAATTTTCTTGTTCTGCCTTTTGTTCTGCTTCATGCTGTACATCCTTCTCCTCTTTTAATGTATGCCTTATATTTTATGGCATCACAAGGCAGTCTCTCTGAGCGCACAAACCATTTGATTTGCTGTCTTTTTGTGTAATTTAGAATTGGTTCTGTGCTGACTTTTCTCTGATGAATAACATTAATCTAAATGGTTAGCTTTAACTCTTACGACTCACAAAATGGCTGTCTTAAACTAGAATTTTGTTGGATAGCAGGAGTTAAAGTTGTTGTAGGCTGGTACTGAAGGAGTTAGGAGCAGTGGTTTGTTACTTCCCCCACCTCCTTTTATTGGGCCCTGAAACCCACACAGCGAGTTTAATGACTGATCAGTGAATGTCCCTACCTTTACCAGTTGCCTTATATTGGAGAAATACCCCCACCCCTCACCCAACCCTGCTTTTGACTATCTTTCTCTCTCACTTCAGTTTCTCCTGGAGTTTTTCTTATCAATTAATAAATGTCATTTACCCAGAATATTTCCATTCTTGGCACAGTTCTACTAATGAAAGTGTTGAACCACTTTGTTACTTTTTTATTAATTTTAAATTTGTAAAACTTTGTCCTGGCCAGAGAAAGTAACTGGCTACTCCACCTCATAATATCATAGAATAGAATATCTGGAGAATGAACACTTCATAAATCTCATATGATTATCTACCATGGGACTGCCTTGACCTTTCAGTTATTGTTATTATGGACTGTTTGTCTTATGTTGCCAGGTTTTCTCCCACATGCTTCCTGGATCAAGACACCAGAGTTACCTGTGACCGATGCCCACCAGGTTACACAGGCAGAGATTGTGGACAGTAAGATATTTTCTTTCTGTTGTGTTTGTTTCTTTCTTTAAGACTTTTAAGGGACTTATGGGGAATTGATGAAACTTTACAACACAAGGTCCTGGTCAGTATTTTGGCTATGTAGAAATGGTACAGCTTCTCATTGAGAGATGTAATGAGGAAAAAGTGGAGAACATTGCAGGGGAAAGATACTGTCATGAATGGACTAAATGAGACAGCTCCTTGTTCAAAAATAAATGAAAGGGAGCAGTGGAAGGTATAGTACAAGAGGAAAACAATGCCACCAGTGGGTAGACAATGTAAAAGATGAACTGAAAGAAGCTAGTAGAAATGTTCCATGAAGACGTCAGTGTTGGATTCTGATTATAGATGGCCTTCATTGAGAAGTTGTCACTTTATACTTTCATCTATTTATTATTTGTTCTGGTCCCCTTTTTTTCAACATGTTCTATTTATTATTTTATTATATTTACTTTATATTTTGGAACCTAATGATATGTGTTTTTGTTTGTCCATGTATGAATACACATGCAAATGCATGTATTAGTGTGGGTGCATACATGTGTGTCCCTTTTGCAATTTCTTTCTTCTGCTCTTTATCCCTCAAAGGCACAAAGGCCCTGAATCAATTCAGGTCAACTTATCCATCTTCTGCTATCACATGCAGCTTGCCCCATGTTTTTATAATTTGTTTTTCTTCTTTCTCCATTTCCTTTCCTGTGTGTGTTGTTGTTGTTTTTTAAATCATTTTTTCCTTTATCCATCTGGGTTTTGATGCAAGAATGTTCTGGTTGTTTTGTTACATGGTTTCTCAATTTGTGTCATATCCAAAATCAGAATCTTTTCCTCCACTCTTGATTCACTGGAATTTGTTCAGGTGTCTCTCAAAGCTCCACATTAGTGATTCTGACATACATAATTCCTTTTATTTTGCACTGGCACCCATTAAACAATGTTTAAAGTTTACTGGTAATTGCTTTAATTGCTCTCCATGTTTTAGCTTTGGGGAACATCACTGGAGATACAGGGTTTATGCTTTGTGTGATATTCTCACCATATGGCTAGAAATTCTGTGGAGAGAGACCAAGCCATATGGGATCAGACTTGATGCAATAAAGCTGATCCTCTTACTTTAAACCTTTGGAAAGATTGATATAGTTTTTATGTATATTAGCTAGCAGTAACTGATAGAATTAGGTTCTACCTTAGCTAGCAATGGCTAATAGAATTAGGTTGTGTATTAGCTAGCAATGGCTGATAGTAGTAGGTTGTGTATTAGCTAACATTGGCTGATAGAAGTAGGTTGTACATTAGCTAACATTGGCTGATAGTAGTAGGTTGTACATTAGCTAACAATGGCTGATAGAAGTAGGTTGTACATTAGCTAACATTGGCTGATAGAAGTAGGTTGTACATTAGCTAACGTTGGCTGATAGAAGTAGGTTGTACATTAGCTAACGTTGGCTGATAGTAGTAGGTTGTACATTAGCTAACAATGGCTGATAGAAGTAGGTTGTACATTAGCTAACATTGGCTGATAGAAGTAGGTTGTACATTAGCTAACATTGGCTGATAGAAGTAGGTTGTACATTAGCTAACATTGGCTGATAGAAGTAGGTTGTACATTAGCTAACATTGGCTGATAGAAGTAGGTTGTGTATTAGCTAACATTGGCTGATAGAAGTAGGTTGTACATTAGCTAACATTGGCTGATAGTAGTAGGTTGTACATTAGCTAACAATGGCTGATAGAAGTAGGTTGTACATTAGCTAACATTGGCTGATAGAAGTAGGTTGTACATTAGCTAACGTTGGCTGATAGTAGTAGGTTGTACATTAGCTAACAATGGCTGATAGAAGTAGGTTGTACATTAGCTAACATTGGCTGATAGAAGTAGGTTGTACATTAGCTAACATTGGCTGATAGAAGTAGGTTGTACATTAGCTAACATTGGCTGATAGAAGTAGGTTGTACATTAGCTAACATTGGCTGATAGAAGTAGGTTGTGTATTAGCTAACATTGGCTGATAGAAGTAGGTTGTGTATTAGCTAGCAATGGCTGATAGTAGTAGGTTGTGTATTAGCTAGCAATGGCTGATAGAATTAGGTTGTGTATTAGCTAGCAATGGCTGATAGTAGTAGGTTGTGTATTAGCTAACATTGGCTGATAGAAGTAGGTTGTACATTAGCTAACATTGGCTGATAGTAGTAGGTTGTACATTAGCTAACAATGGCTGATAGAAGTAGGTTGTACATTAGCTAACATTGGCTGATAGAAGTAGGTTGTACATTAGCTAACATTGGCTGATAGTAGTAGGTTGTACATTAGCTAACAATGGCTGATAGAAGTAGGTTGTACATTAGCTAACATTGGCTGATAGAAGTAGGTTGTACATTAGCTAACATTGGCTGATAGAAGTAGGTTGTACATTAGCTAACATTGGCTGATAGAAGTAGGTTGTACATTAGCTAACATTGGCTGATAGAAGTAGGTTGTACATTAGCTAACATTGGCTGATAGAAGTAGGTTGTACATTAGCTAACATTGGCTGATAGAAGTAGGTTGTACATTAGCTAACGTTGGCTGATAGTAGTAGGTTGTACATTAGCTAATGTTGGCTGATAGAAGTAGGTTGTACATTAGCTAATGTTGGCTGATAGAAGTAGGTTGTAAATTAGCTAATGTTGGCTGATAGAAGTAGGTTGTACATTAGCTAATGTTGGCTGATAGAAGTAGGTTGTACATTAGCTAACACTTGCTGACAGAAGTAGGTTGTACATTAGCTAACGTTGGCTGATAGAAGTAGGTTGCACATTAGCTAACATTGGCTGATAGAAGTAGGTTGTACATTAGCTAACATTGGCTGATAGAAGTAGGTTGTACATTAGCTAACATTGGCTGATAGAAGTAGGTTGTACATTAGCTAACGTTGGCTGATAGAAGTAGGTTGTACATTAGCTAACGTTGGCTGATAAAAGTAGGTTGTACATTAGCTAACGTTGGCTGATAGAAGTAGGTTGTACATTAGCTAACATTGGCTGATAGAAGTAGGTTGTACATTAGCTAACAGTGGCTGATAGAAGTAGGTTGTACATTAGCTAACACTTGCTGACAGAAGTAGATTGTACATTAGCTAACGTTGGCTAATAGAAGTAGGTTGTACATTAGCTAACGTTGGCTGATAGAAGTAGGTTGCACATTAGCTAACATTGGCTGATAGAAGTAGGTTGTACATTAGCTAACATTGGCTGATAGAAGTAGATTGTACATTAGCTAACGTTGGCTGATAGAAGTAGGTTGTACATTAGCTAACATTGGCTGATAGAAGTAGGTTGTACATTAGCTAACATTGGCTGATAGAAGTAGGTTGTACATTAGCTAACATTGGCTGATAGAAGTAGGTTGTACATTAGCTAACGTTGGCTGATAGAAGTAGGTTGTACATTAGCTAACGTTGGCTGATAAAAGTAGGTTGTACATTAGCTAACGTTGGCTGATAGAAGTAGGTTGTACATTAGCTAACATTGGCTGATAGAAGTAGATTTTACATTAGCTAACATTGGCTGATAGAAGTAGGTTGTACATTAGCTAACGTTGGCTGATAGAAGTAGGTTGTACATTAGCTAACACTTGCTGACAGAAGTAGGTTGTCCATTAGCTAACACTGGCTGATAGAAGTAGATTGTCCATTAGCTAACACTTGCTGACAGAAGTAGGTTGTACATTAGCTAACACTTGCTGACAGAAGTAGGTTGTACATTAGCTAACGTTGGCTTATAGAAGTAGGTTGTACATTAGCTAACGTTGGCTGATAGAAGAAGGTTGCACATTAGCTAACATTGGCTGATAGAAGTAGGTTGTACATTAGCTAACATTGGCTGATAGAAGTAGGTTGTACATTAGCTAACATTGGCTGATAGAAGTAGGTTGTACATTAGCTAACGTTGGCTGATAGAAGTAGGTTGTACATTAGCTAACGTTGGCTGATAGAAGTAGGTTGTACATTAGCTAACGTTGGCTGATAGAAGTAGGTTGTACATTAGCTAACATTGGCTGATAGAAGTAGGTTGTACATTAGCTAACATTGGCTGATAGAAGTAGGTTGTACATTAGCTAACATTGGTTGATAGAAGTAGGTTGTACATTAGCTAACGTTGGCTGATAGAAGTAGGTTGTACATTAGCTAACGTTGGCTGATGAAAGTAGGTTGTACATTAGCTAACGTTGGCTGATAGAAGTAGGTTGTACATTAGCTAACATTGGCTGATAGAAGTAGATTTTACATTAGCTAACGTTGGCTGATAGAAGTAGGTTGTACATTAGCTAACGTTGGCTGATAGAAGTAGGTTGTACATTAGCTAACGTTGGCTGATAGAAGTAGGTTGTACATTAGCTAACGTTGGCTGATAGAAGTAGGTTGTACATTAGCTAACACTGGCTGATAGAAGTAGATTGTCCATTAGCTAACACTTGCTGACAGAAGTAGGTTGTACATTAGCTAACACTTGCTGACAGAAGTAGGTTGTACATTAGCTAACGTTGGCTAATAGAAGTAGGTTGTACATTAGCTAACGTTGGCTGATAGAAGTAGGTTGCACATTAGCTAACATTGGCTGATAGAAGTAGGTTGTACATTAGCTAACATTGGCTGATAGAAGTAGGTTGTACATTAGCTAACATTGGCTGATAGAAGTAGGTTGTACATTAGCTAACGTTGGCTGATAGAAGTAGGTTGTACATTAGCTAACGTTGGCTGATAGAAGTAGGTTGTACATTAGCTAACGTTGGCTGATAGAAGTAGGTTGTACATTAGCTAACATTGGCTGATAGAAGTAGGTTGTACATTAGCTAACATTGGCTGATAGAAGTAGGTTGTACATTAGCTAACATTGGCTGATAGAAGTAGGTTGTACATTAGCTAACGTTGGCTGATAGAAGTAGGTTGTACATTAGCTAACGTTGGCTGATAAAAGTAGGTTGTACATTAGCTAACGTTGGCTGATAGAAGTAGGTTGTACATTAGCTAACATTGGCTGATAGAAGTAGATTTTACATTAGCTAACGTTGGCTGATAGAAGTAGGTTGTACATTAGCTAACGTTGGCTGATAGAAGTAGGTTGTACATTAGCTAACGTTGGCTGATAGAAGTAGGTTGTACATTAGCTAACGTTGGCTGATAGAAGTAGGTTGTACATTAGCTAACGTTGGCTGATAGAAGTAGGTTGTACATTAGCTAACATTGGCTGATAGAAGTAGATTTTACATTAGCTAACATTGGCTGACAGAAGTAGATTTTACATTAGCTAACATTGGCTGATAGAAGTAGATTGTCCATTAGCTAACACTTGCTGACAGAAGTAGGTTGTACATTAGCTAACAGTAGCTAATACTGTCTACCTTCCACAGGTGTGCTCCTGGTTTCCAGGGAAACCCTCGTGAACCTGGTGGCCAATGTGAAAGAACTATTCCTAGTAAGAATGTGTGTTTGTGGACTCCAGTTCTAGATGTCCCTTGTTTATGTGTGCATACTTTGTTGATATGCATTGATAAAAATGCATGATGTATTATTTTGCCATCATTTGTACATTATTATTATTGTTATGGCAACTATGAACCTCTTTTAGCTACAGTAAAAAGGCACAAAACGCAATGATATGGACATGTTAAAAGTACTAAAAACCTCTCAAAAACAATACTACAGGGCTCAGTAGAGGAAAGAGGAGAAGAGGCAGACCAAGAAAGACCTGGATACATAGCTTGACTTACTGGACAGGCCTTAGGCATGCCGACATGAAGTTCATCGCGTTTAACTATCATAGGTGTAGGGAGCTGATCAAACAGTCAACAGCAACTCATGTCCCAGTAATGTGCAGTGTCAAAGGAGGAGGATGATGATAATAATACATATTGTTGTTGTGTGTTTATTTACTGCAGTTATTTATCTTGTAATGTCCAAATATACTGGGATTATTTAGCTTCTCATCTTTCAATCTTTCTACTGACCCAGTTTTGTTAAAATTAACAAAATGTTGATGCCAGCAGGGATGTATTATTCCTATAAGCGCACATTTATTTCTTTTAATGCAAACTCAATTTTCAGTACTTGGAATTCACGTTATTGGGGTTTACTGTATTTTGCAGTTACCTACTATCTTATTTGGGAGTCGCCGTGGCAGAGCGGCTAGATGAGCGGCGCGGATCAGAAGGTCGTGGGTTCGCTCCCTGGCGGAGCCGGACTTTTCTTCAAAAAAGGACCTTGGCTTCCAGGTTGACCCAGCCTTGAATGGGTACCGGGTGCAGTACCGGGAAGTAGAGGCGGCCGGCGTGATGCTGACCACATCACCCATCTTGTGCCGTTGGTCTATAAAAATATAGGTTTAGCCCTATATGCCCTATACGCCTAAAGGTGTGGAAAAGGGTCCTTTACTTTTTTTTACTTACTATCTTATTTGAAAATATGTTAAACCTAATCTTAAATATATTGCAGTTATCTACCTCATATTTTGCAAATAAATTGCTGGAATTAACTTTTATCATTTACATTTGTAATAGTTTGTTTTAAGCAGTTCCAATTCAAATTTCTTACTGCCTGTGATTTGTAGGTCAATTGCCAACAGTAACAGTAAACCCTGTCAGCCTGTCTCTACCTCTGGGAACAACCGCAGTCTTCCAGTGTATCCCTAGTGGCAAATCTCCATTCAATGTGGTGTGGAGCAGACTAGATGGTCGCCAGCTACCTCGCCGGGCCACACAAGGACCTGGTCCTAATTACCTACTGACCATACCAAATCTAGAATTTACTGACTCCGCAAGATATGTGTGTCAAGTGAGCAATGCTGATGGAACAACCAGGGAGCAAGCTACACTCAATGTTGAGCGTAAGTTTTTGAATGTACTCTCATGCATGTGTATGTATGTCTGTGCTAGTTGCAATGTTTAATATTGCTATTGAATTAAGTGGGGAAAAAAATAAAGAGCCCTAACTTCTTCATTCTTCTTCTTCTTTTGTCATCTCAATGATACCAGTTTGTAACCCAGTATCATAGTTTTTTTGTATTTGTCTTGCACTTCTTGGGTCGCTTGGGTGATGGATTTGTTCATCTTTTTTGTAGGTTCCATCTACACCATTTATCCATATCATTCTTGGCCTTCCTCTCGCCTTCCTCCCAGATTTTCTACTATAAAAAGTCTCATGTGCAGTCCGATCTGGCTGCATTCTCACTAGATGGCTGAACCATTTCATTCCTTGTCTGTCAATAAAATCCAGAAATGTTCTTATTCCAACTTTTTCTTTAATGGCTGGTATTCGTAACCCTGTCTCTTCCTGTGTTGTTAGTGACCTTGAGGAGACAGCACATTTCACATGTAGTTATTTTCTGTTCTAGTGCCTTATTCATTGTCCATGTCATGGGCTGTTACAAAGGACTATAAATGAGATATCTTACAATTTTCAGAAGTCACCCGTCCAGTCAGAATCAGAATTGAGGAGCCTACAAACATTGTTGCCAGGCCTGGCCAGACTGTACGGCTTATTTGTGTAGCAGTCCAGTACAGTAGTGCTGTAAGTATCACATACCTATTGATTCTTCTTTCTTCTTTTTCTGCCTTAACAATTAAAATGACAGTTGGCTCACTCTTTTATGATCACCCATTATCTACCTATTCTTATTTTTCTTCTTTTTCTTCCTTTTTCTTCTTCTTCTCTTCTACTTCTTTGTGTTCACCAATGAGCTTTAAACTGCATCCAAAAGTTCTAGATGCTAGTTCACTTGTGGACTTTGGTACTTTTCCAGAAGCTTCAGTTTTGCATGTGCATCTGTTTTACAGATCTGGCTTATTTTGTATTCTGACTGTTGGTCCCTTGCATCTAAGGCAGATTGACTCTGACTTTGAAGGTTATTTCCCTAATAAGTCAACTCTTGTGACATGTTTGTTAGAGGGCTGCAGACCTATTACTTTTTCTCCCCCACACTGGGGTCCTGGAACCCATGTCGGGTATTTTGGGATCAGATATCACCTGGTGATGGTGTATGAGGGGCTTCAAATGAAAACCTGCTCCACTCACACACTTGCTGGTCATACGCATGTGTCACCATACCAGACCTTCATTTGCATACGAATTTCTATTGGTTTCCTCTTTCAACGATTTAAATAAATGGAATAATAGAAGACTACTCCTTTTTGGTGCAAATCAAAATTGGGCGGCCATCTTTAAACTGTCATTATTATGTCACCCGGTTTGTCTGCACTGTGATGTCATGCTTTAACACTGTTGACATCTTTAACAACAATACTGACAGGTAACAAGAAAACAGCATGATTATTGCAATTTCTATCACACTTTTAGTGTTTTCATTTGAACCCCTTCATATGTGTGTGTGTGTTTGTGGGTGTGTGCGTGTGTGCGTGAGAATGAGTTGGTAAGGGCTTTCTTGTGCACATGCTTGTGCTTAGTTAAAAAAAAAAAAAGAAAGAAAATCCGGAAAAGTGCTCAGATTATTTGCTCTGCGCTCCAAAGGTTATAGTCTTATTTTATAACCTATAATTATCAGTTTATATAACGGACAGTTTTGTATGGTGATCCCTGATGATCAGCACTGGAGCTACAGGGTTTGTGGTTTGTGTGACACTCACAGCAGGCGGCTAGCCACAGGTCTCACAGGACTTTTTTAGGAGGTGTTTTTTGTGTATTCCAAAGTTAATTTGTTCTTCCTTGATATGACTTTCACACTTGGAGGGACCATGCAAAAGTAACGGTTGTTAAGCTGAAAGCACCTGAAGATAATCTGAGATAGAGATGAATAATATGAGGATGAGATAGTGTGAGCTGCATGAGAGGATGAAATAAGAGTATGGAATTTGATGTGCTGGTCGAGCTGTGTGCACACTTTGTGTTTGATTTCAATGCGCAACAGGTTCATTTAAATTACACACTATGATTATCATAATTGTTTGAAAAGCACACTTAATATTTATGAAACTAACAGTCTATACTCCTTCAGTCTGTTATACTTAATACTTAAGCTAAGCAGTATTAACTCTTTGAGTCCCAATGAACGCATCATACGTTCATAGGTTCCTACCTAGAAGCCCAATGAACGCAAGATGCGCCGATTTTATTACTTTCTTTACTACCCCCTGGGCCTGTGATGCTAAACCATGTGGGAATCAAAGAGTTAAGTAACAAAAAAAAATTGATAAGCATAAATATCCATTACTGACATAGAAAAAACCTATATATTTACTGACATAGAGAAAAAACTATATATTTACTGACATAGAAAAAACTATATATTTACTGACAGAAAAAAACTATATATTTACTGACATAGAAAAAACTATATATTTACTGACATAGAAAAAAAAAACTATATATTTACTGACATAGAAAAAACTATATATTTACTGACATAGAAAAAACTAAATATTTACTGACATAGAAAAAACTATATATTTACTGACATAGAAAATGATGATATATCTCAGTTATATCCCAGATGGGTGGTCAGGATTTTGTTGAATAAATGACTACAGCCACCAGGTTTGTATTTAAACCCCCCCCCCCCCCCCCAAAAAAAATCACGATAAATTGACATTGGAACCGAGATCAACACAGTGAAAATGAGCATCAGGAAATGGTCTTGGAAATCAAGGTGGCAGCATGATGCTCATTTATATGTGTTATGAGTTCAGCATCAGGTGCCTATTGTGTGACCGGCATGAAAATTATGTTTTATTTATTGTTTTTTCAGAGAGGGAAAAACTGACAAACATATGATTGATAAACAAATAGAAACAGAGATTTAGCACAGTCACTTATTATAACCTCATAAGTTTGAACAGGGTAACTGGAATCTGCTGCAGCTGGCTGGACATCTCAAGCGTGGCTAATAGGGTCAGACTTTTAGATAGCAGGCATGAAGAAGCCTAAAGAAAGGAAAAAATAGTGAAGTTGATTGCACATATGTGTGTCTGTGTGTGTATTATGCATGTGTACATAAATGTGTGCATGCTAAATGGTCCTTGAATTTATATTTATATGTAAATGAGAAGGTTGAGAAAGGAGAAGAATGTAGATTAATGTTTGAGCTGAAGTGTTTCTCTCATGTAATCCTGTCTTAAAGCAAGCTAAAGAAAGGAGAAGGATGTAGATTAGTGTTTATGATCAAGTGTCTCTCATGTAATCCTGTCTTAAAGCAAGCTAAAGAAAGGAGAAGAATGTAGATTATTGTTTAAGCTGAAGTGTTTCTCTCATGTAATCCTGTCTTAAAGCAAGCTAAAGAAAGGAGAAGAATGTAGATTATTGTTTATGATCAAGTGTCTCTCATGTAATCCTGTCTTAAAGCAAGCTAAAGAAAGGAGAAGAATGTAGATTATTGTTTATGATCAAGTGTCTCTCATGTAATCCTGTCTTAAAGCAAGCTAAAGAAAGGAGAAGGATGTAGATTAGTGTTTATGATCAAGTGTCTCTCATGTAATCCTGTCTTAAAGCAAGCTAAAGAAAGGAGAAGGATGTAGATTAGTGTTTATGATCAAGTGTCTCTCATGTAATCCTGTCTTAAAGCAAGCTAAAGAATGGAGAAGGATGTAGATTAGTGTTTATGATCAAGTGTCTCTCATGTAATCCTGTCTTAAAGCAAGCTAAAGAAAGGAGAAGAATGTAGATTATTGTTTATGATCAAGTGTCTCTCATGTAATCCTGTCTTAAAGCAATCTAAAGAAAGGAGAAGAATGTAGATTATTGTTTATGATCAAGTGTCTCTCATGTAATCCTGTCTTAAAGCAAGCTAAAGAAAGGAGAAGAATGTAGATTAATGTTTGAGCTGAAGTGTTTCTCTCATGTAATCCTGTCTTAAAGCAAGCTAAAGAAAGGAGAAGAATGTAGATTAATGTTTGAGCTGAAGTGTTTCTCTCATGTAATCCTGTCTTAAAGCAAGCTAAAGAAAGGAGAAGGATGTAGATTAGTGTTTATGATCAAGTGTCTCTCATGTAATCCTGTCTTAAAGCAAGCTAAAGAAAGGAGAAGAATGTAGATTAATGTTTGAGCTGAAGTGTTTCTCTCATGTAATCCTGTCTTAAAGCAAGCTAAAGAAAGGAGAAGAATGTAGATTATTGTTTATGATCAAGTGTCTCTCATGTAATCCTGTCTTAAAGCAAGCTAAAGAAAGGAGAAGAATGTAGATTAATGTTTGAGCTGAAGTGTTTCTCTCATGTAATCCTGTCTTAAAGCAAGCTAAAGAAAGGAGAAGAATGTAGATTATTGTTTATGATCAAGTGTCTCTCATGTAATCCTGTCTTAAAGCAAGCTAAAGAAAGGAGAAGGATGTAGATTAGTGTTTATGATCAAGTGTCTCTCATGTAATCCTGTCTTAAAGCAAGCTAAAGAAAGGAGAAGGATGTAGATTAGTGTTTATGATCAAGTGTCTCTCATGTAATCCTGTCTTAAAGCAAGCTAAAGAAAGGAGAAGAATGTAGATTATTGTTTATGATCAAGTGTCTCTCATGTAATCCTGTCTTAAAGCAAGCTAAAGAAAGGAGAAGGATGTAGATTATTGTTTATGATCAAGTGTCTCTCATGTAATCCTGTCTTAAAGCAAGCTAAAGAAAGGAGAAGGATGTAGATTATTGTTTATGATCAAGTGTCTCTCATGTAATCCTGTCTTAAAGCAAGCTAAAGAAAGGAGAAGGATGTAGATTATTGTTTATGATCAAGTGTCTCTCATGTAATCCTGTCTTAAAGCAAGCTAAAGAAAGGAGAAGGATGTAGATTATTGTTTATGATCAAGTGTCTCTCATGTAATCCTGTCTTAAAGCAAGCTAAAGAAAGGAGAAGGATGTAGATTATTGTTTATGATCAAGTGTCTCTCATGTAATCCTGTCTTAAAGCAGGCTAAAGAAAGGAGAAGGATTATTGTTTATGATCAAGTGTCTCTCATGTAATCCTGTCTTAAAGCAAGCTAAAGAAAGGAGAAGGATGTAGATTAGTGTTTATGATCAAGTGTCTCTCATGTAATCCTGTCTTAAAGCAAGCTAAAGAAAGGAGAAGGATGTAGATTAGTGTTTATGATCAAGTGTCTCTCATGTAATCCTGTTTGAAGGCAATCTAAAGAAAGGAGAAGGATGTAGATTATTGTTTGTGATTAAGTGTCTCTCATTTATTCCTTGGTGAAGGCAAACTACGTTCTCTCGTGGGAAAAAGATGGAGTTCTGCCATCCAAAGCCACTGACTTTAATGGTGTTCTTACCATCCCCAACTTGACTGAAAGTGACCTTGGCACCTACACGTGCACTGGTTCAGAACCAGGCAGCTCAGATAGAGCAACAGCCACAATCACATTTGGAAGTAAGTACAAGAAAATATGTGAGGTGTATGTAAGTGAATTAAAGTTTGTGCTTAGAAGTACAAGAAAATATGTGAGATGTATGTAATGTGTTGAATATTAATACTCCCAAGCACAAACTTCAAATCACTTATGCCATGGTAACAGACTTTCCTTCATGTTACAAGTGACACATGCCATGGGAACAGACTTTCCTTCACATTACCAGTAACACATGCCATGGGAGCAGACTTTCCTTCACATTACCAGTAACACATGCCATGGGAGCAGACTTTCCTTCCCATTACCAGTAACACATGTCATGGGAACAAGACTTTTTCACATTACCAGTGACACGTACCATAGGAGCAGTCTTTCCTTCACATTACAAGTTACACATGCCATTGGAACAGACTTTCCTTCACATTACACTCCACTGGGGGATAGAAAGGCAGAAGAGAAGAAGAAGAATAGCATCAGTTAAAATGGGATACATATATTAAAGGAAGGTTTTTAAAATTCCATCAGAGAAGAAGTAATATGTAGAAGTTATATTATTATATTATATTATTATTTTCAGAAGTAATGTTTTAGAACTGTATCAGTTCAGAAGTAATGTATTACAAGTGACAACAATAGGTGTTCTAACCACAGATTGTGAAATGACATGGTTTAGATCCAGTGTGAGGTGGGAACCTTTACAAGAACCACTAGTTTATAATGATATCATACATGTCTCTGATCGAGTGTGGTTTTTTTTTGCAGCGGTTCTTGTAGCCCCTACAGTTCGTATTGAGCCACGCTACATCCAGACATCTGAAGGTGACCGTGTGGACTTCCAGTGTATAGCAGAGGGCAGCCCCAGGCCAGTTGTCAGATGGACCAAAGGTTAGTTGCTGCTGGTGCATACTTATTGAAGATTGTGCAGACTATCACTGAAAGCTGTCATCGCCGTAGTTATTACTTGATCCCCTTTCTCAGTTATTTATTGTTTGCACAGTAGAAATCAGCACGTTGAAACACTCAAAAGGACGTAACCGTAAACAAATAAAAGGTAATGATGTTAAAACAAACAATAGAAGGGACAGCATATTCATCAAAAATAATCCTGAAGTCCAGCATACAGAAACTCTTCTATTACCCCTCAATTTCTATTGAAAAATAAAATCTAATCTTGCCGTCCTTTTTAGGATGCAATTTTTCGTTATTTGAAGCCCTACTCTGTCTCGTGCCAGAGGCCGCTATATAGCCTGGCCATAAATATGGCCTAATGGCTGAATGCGGCTTCTGGGATCTCTCCACTGTGATCCTCACCCACATGGTGGCACATTGTGTCATCGGGTATCACTTGTGTGATGTCCTGGTGGGGTAGAAAGTCAGTCAGTCAGTCAGTCATTGAAAAAATTCTCAGAACCCTTAATTACCAAGAAAATTGAGGTCATTCTAACACTATAATATAACAGTCAGATCACATGGAGTTAGGAATAACATTTGTAAATTAGTTTTTAAAAAAAAAATCTGCTGTTGGTGAAAAACAGAAATTAGCTATACTGAGACGTACTCGGGTGGAGATCGGGGAACTTATAGTCATGTCCCATGTATAATGAAGATGATCTTTAAATGAACAATGAACAATCCTGACCTTATCTAGGTTTTGTCTGTCCCTGTATCTCTTTGTATCCTGACCTTATCTTGGTGTTGTCTGACCATGTATTTCTTTGTATCCTGACCTTTTCTTGGTGTTGTCTGTCCCTGTTTCTCTTTGTATCCTGACCTTATCTTGGTGTTGTCTGTCCCTGTATCTCTTTGTATCCTGACCTTATCTTGGTGTTGTCTGTCCCTGTATCTCTTTGTATCCTGACCTTATCTTGGTGTTGTCTGTCCCTGTATCTCTTTGTATCCTGACCTTATTTTGGTGTTGTCTGTCCCTGTATTTCTTTGTATCCTGACCTTATCTTGGTGTTGTCTGTCCATGTATTTCTTTTTATCCTGACCTTATCTTGGTGTTGTCTGTCCATTTATATCTTTATATCCTGAACTTATCTTGGTGTTGTCTGTCCATGTATTTCTTTGTATCCTGACCTTATCTGGGTGTTGTCTGTCCATTTATATCTTTATATCCTGACCTTATCTTGTTGTTGTCTGTCCATTTATATCTTTATATCCTGACCTTATCTTGGTGTTGTCTGTCCATTTATATCTTTGTATCCTGACCTTATCTTGGTGTTGTCTGTCCATTTATATCTTTATATCCTGACCTTATCTTGGTGTTGTCTGTCCATTCATAACTTTGTAACCTGACATTTTTTTGGTGTTATCTACTCACTTATATCTTTGAAACCATCTAACTCTGGTTTCTTAAACTTCTCCATCCTCTATGGTATTTATTAGATTGTTATATTTGTGACAAAATACTTACATTTTTGGGTGTCCTGTTCACGTTTTCAGACCCAGGATTAGAATAACTTCCTTTGCCATTTTTTTTGTTTTGTTTAGCTGATGTGTATATTTTTATTTTATTTTGTGTATGTTTTGTAGTTAATACTATCACCATTCTCAGGACCAAGTGATCCATTGCCCAGTAACATCTACACGGATGAAACTGGAGTGTTCCGAATCAACTCCGTCAGTTCCACTGACCAATCAGAGTACTACTGCACTGCCACCAACTCTCAGGGCACCACATCGGTCAGAACCATTATCTACGTTCAGCGCTGTAAGTCTTTTGCTTCTATCATTTGTACTTTTTTTACTGATGTAACAATCAGTGACATAGTATATGGGGCATACCCACAGATGCTCCATCTCCCACAGGAAATGTCTTAAGTTGTAGATACTAACTGTTCCCGTAGCCCATTGATTATACACAAATCTTTCTCTTCCTCTCATACATCCCTCCTTGCCAGATCCACTCAAAATTCCATGTTCATACATATTTACACATGTTATTTAACTTGACCTCATGTCCTCTATCAGTATTCATTCATAAATCGTCTTTAGGATGTTTTCTTTGTCTAGTATGAGTGTTCCCATAGCTATCACTTTTGTAGCAAAAAAATTCACTCCTTCATACCCTCACACTCTTGCATTTCCCAGACAGTATATCCAGATGAGTCACTGTAATGTTAATATACTGATGCTTGATGTCCACTCATGCCACATTTGTCCATTTTGACCCTTCCCCAGCACCGATTGTGAATCAGACACTACAATTTCTCTGAAAACTCTTAATTTCTGCTATTCACTTCAGAGCTGCAGTGATTGCCTCCACCTCCATCCTCATTTTTGCAGTTGGAGATTTTTTGTTTAAAAGAGCACACGTTTGTTCCCGCTATAATCATTTCCTTTACTCTAGCTGAAAATCCCCAGTCAAATTTTCATCCCAGTGAACTATTGCATCCTCTTGCCTAGCTACTTAACTGTTTAAATACCAAACAGCACCCTTTATGTGACAAGAATGTATGCATGTGTGTCAATGAATATATGTAGGCTTGAGTTAGAAGTAGAACAAAGCACTTATAGGTTACTATACGTGTGTCATGGTGCTGATACATTGTGTAAACCAATTAAGCCAAACCAAATATGTTATGCAAGTTTATACGTCTTATATTTAGTAAAAATGCCAGCAACACAACTGCTTCTAAAAATAGTTGAGTACTTTGCCTCTATTGATGTTGTTTACCTAAACTTTCTTTACTGCCATTATTATTACCTCACTCATGCATCAGCTCTTTTCTGTCACCTTATGTTGCTGTCAATCGACTGTCCCACTGTTTTTTCCAAACCCCCAAAGCTGATCTCTAGTCACATCAAGGTCTCCATGATTCCCTTCCATTATGATTATATCATCACTCTGAAACCTGTCTTTTCTTGGGCTGTTCAATCCATCACAACTGACTGCCTTTCTAAGTCATGTCCAGTTAATGGTTGCTTTTTTTAAAATCCTGAGATGTATTACTGGGACCCTTCCCAATTCCGATGTTTGTGCTGTATACTTAAATACTCCCTAAATTATTTATGGAGAGTCTCTGTGAGCATTGAAAGTGATTCTTTCCTATCCTGAAACATAATTATCTTTAGAGTCACTGAGCCAATGATAATTTAACATAGTTTTCACTGGACTCATTGAATCACTGGTAATTTAGCAGTGTTCTTTAGACTCATTGAATCACTGGTAATTTAGCACACTGTTTTTTAGAGTCAGTGAGTCACCGGTAATTCAACACAGTGTACATTAGAGTCAGTGAGTCATCAGTAATTTAACCTGATGTATTTTAGAGTCAGTGAGTCATTGGTAATTTAACATGAAATTTTAAAAAATCAGTGACTCATTGATAATGTAACATGATGTTTATAGAGCCAGCTAGAGGTTGGCAAATCAACAGGATTGTCCATGGTTGTTTAACTAAATCCTTAAGTACCAGGAAAGTTAACTGAGCATTAAGGTAATGATGATCACCATGCACGTAAACACATGTGACAGTCTTTCACAGATACAGCAATGTATATACCAAGTTCAGTACTAGAATAAGTAACCAGGTTTCTATCGCATGGTTAGGCTAAACAGCTGTCACACCCTTTGTTGTTTGGTACACACACAAAATACCTTATCCCACATGGCATGTTAGCTGGGACTGAAAGAGTTCTCAATGCTCCAGCACCATATTCATTGAATAGCTGCAGTTAGCAATCTAAATTGATATCAGCAGTATGATAGAGAAATGTGTGCTAGTTATAGTGTGAAGTTTGGTGGACAACAAATGAATGAACAAACAAACCTTATTTCCAAATGGTTAAGAAATGGACACGCAGGCCTGTCTAAATTTCTGCCCAAACCTTGAAACAGATCAAGTTCGATGGAGAAATGTTCACTGCATGTAGTATGAAATTTGGTTTTGAAGGTATGATTGAACAAACTAATTTCAAAGGTAGTAGTAATTTTCACCAAAATTTCCTGTTCAACCCTCAGAGTTAAAATTTGGATACATAATGTTCATCGAGGTATCATTTATCTTTATTATTATTTTATTTAATATATAGTGTAATTATTTATTTAGGTCAGATTTGTAATTTGTATTATTGTTTCAAATCTTGCTTTGTTTACACCTTTCTGGGTTGTGATTAAGATAGAAGTTGTACTATGAATATCCAGATAATATTACTAACATTGTGCCATTAAAGTAATGGATTTATTGTTACCTTAGTATAAAAGCTGTGATAGAATCACAAATGTGGAGCTTTTTGAGAGAACTAAACAAGTTCCAGTGGACCAAGAGGTGAAGAAAAGGTGCTGGCATTGGATAGGACACACGTCAACAACAACAAAACTGTGAGCAATATAACTAGAATGTCCTTGCAGTGGAACCCACAGGGGCATAGGAATAAAGGAAGACCAAAAAACACCAGGAGAAGGGAGCTGAAGAGTGAGATTAAAAAGATGGGGAGGACATGAGGAGAGCTGCATGCGAAAGCAAAGGATAGAATAACTTGGCATGAGTTGGTTGAGGGCCTATGCTCCACTGGGTGCTAGAAAGGCAGAAACAGAGATAAAAGCTGTATAATTTTTAAAAGGTTCAGAATTGAATGTGCAGGCCCGTATAACATTTTACTCTTACCTTGAAATATGAAACATGAAATTGATGGAGAAATGTTCACCAGTTGTTTTGACTTTCTTGCAGCCCCAGTCCAAGTGATCGTCCGTAGAACAAACATCACTGCAGTCATAGGTCAGAGTGAGCAGCTGGTTTGTTATGCCGAGGGAAACAATGAGGTCATTCTGGTTTGGACCAGAGAGGGAGGCCTGCCTGTTGGTACGTACTGTGTCAACATGAAATGTGTTTATGTCTTAGACATGAGAGATATTTCCTTCAGTCAGTAATTTACAAGTAATTCTGTATGTGTGTGTGTCTGAAATCAGTATATACATTTGGAAAAAAAAACGTTGAAAAAACCTCCCTAAATGTGTCGCCATTTCTCTTTTTTTTTTTTTTTCTCCATCTCTCTTTTTCTTACACACCTTTTCTGCTCATCTGGGTGTCTTTCTTTCTGTGTCTATTTGGTTGTGTGTGTGTTTGTGTCTGTATGTGTGGCATGTCATGCTCTCTCTATCCATATTTTATATTTCTTTATTCTCTTTTACTCTCACTTGCTTCCTTATTCTGCACATGCTTGTCTGTTAGTCTGCCCATGGCTGTCTCTCTCTCTCTCTCTCTCTCTCTCTCTCTCTCTCTCTCTCTCTCTCTCTCTCTCTCTCTCTCTCTCTCTCTTTCTCTCTCTCTCCCTCTCCCTGAGCTTGTTATCTCAGAGTAGGAGTCCAGTAAGAGAATCTTCATGATCTTCTTTCCATCTTTAGGTGCCATCCAAGAGAACGGTGTCCTGACCCTCTCAAACATCCAACCCACACATGCTGGGACCTACATTTGCACAGGAAGAACTCCGACAGGCATCATAGGCACGGCAACTACACGTATTACAGTCACAGGCACAGCATGTAAGTTGTCATTGGTTCTCTGAGTTCTGTCTTCTGCCCTCTCTTTTGCTTTTTCTTCCGTTCCTCTTCTTGTGCTCCGTTTTTTTTTCTTCTGAATTTCACTTTTTTATTCATCTTCTTCATCTTTAAAATAATAATTATTTATAAAACAAATGTGTGTTTAAAAACAATGGATGTTGGCTCATTTGTTAAGCCTCTTGCCTGACAAAATAAAACATAAGAGAAGCAAAGGAAGAGTTGGAGAACAAAATCATGTGTGGAAATTGTCAATAAACATCTGGGCAATACAAGTTGTTTCAGCTTCATGAATATGACAGAGAAATTGTAGGGACACCATAAAAAATACTGGGTCAGGGAGAGTCTGATACCCCAGTTAGGGCTTCCAGAGAAGAAGAGATCACCAGTCGTGACCACCAGTACTGAGTCATGGGGAGTCCGGCACACTAGAAGAAGACAAGGAGTAGCAATGTGGTCAGTGTGCTAACTCTCCTGGTCCAGTCCTTTTTAGAGGCAACTTCTGACCAGTATGTCTGCGGCATTGTGAATGCACTCTGAAATGCCAGGATTGAACTCAGCTGCAGCGATTTGGCAGCAGAACATCTTGTGTTGATTTCAAAGGTAGCATCAAGAGCCAACCTTTCAGTAAGCAGTGGCAAACTACTGAACACAAAATGAGCCTAGAAAAACCATACAAAAATGCTGGGATTGGTTCTGCAGTATCCTGTAAATGATGTTACTAGCTGTAAACTCACTATGACCAGTACAGATATGGGGTTGCTGTTGACAACTTTCTGTCTATCCAGATGATTGTGTAATATTATGCTCAAGGAAGGAGTCAGAATAACAGCCCATAGTGATGGAAAACATGATTAGCAAGACCTACAAATGTTAAGCAGTCTTCCATAATTCTTCAATGGGATTTAAGAACTACTGTTGCCATTGTATTTATTAAACCTATTTCTTCTTAGACTCTCAGTTGGTAATCAATCTGCAGTCATATTGTCCCTTATCCATAATCTCTTCCGTGTTGTCCCCCTCCACGCAATATGGTCTTTGGCATTTTATTCCCATAAATCCACATCAGTCAAGTTATATGATGATAAAGAAATTTCTGATTGAATAACAGCCTCTCAAAAACAATACTACAGGGCATAGTAGAGGGGAAGTGGAGAAGAAGCAAACCAAGAAATACCTGGATACAGAACTTGACTGACTGGACAGGCCTTAGACATGCAGCCATGAAGTCCATAACTTCTGACCACCAAATGTAGAGGTAGCTGACCAGACAGTCAACAGTAAAAGTGTTACAGGGTGATGATGAAGATTTTTTTTGCGAAGGGAAGGCAGCACAGCAAGGAAGTACACTGGTCACCACCATGTCCTAGACTAGGTGAAAACCAAACTCTTCCAATTCATACAGTAGTGAACATTCAGGAATTACCTCAGTTTTGTCTGCAAGGATCATTTTCAACTCAAGGGCTGAAATACTTGAAGATTTTCCAGCTGGAAATTCTAAGATAATGCATATCATACTCTCTCATTGCTTTATCTCACTCTATTTTTTTTCTGCGTTACTTCCCTCTTTCTTTCCCTATCTGTCCAGCTCTCTCTTTTCTATTCTCCATTTTCATTCACCCTCCCATTTTCCTGATTCCCCTTCTCTGCCTCTCTCTCTCTCTCTCTCTCTCTCTCTCTCTCTCTCTCTCTCTCTCTCTCTCTCTCTCTCTCTCTCTCTCTTTCTCTCTCTCTCTCTCTCTCTCTCTCTCTCTCTCTCTTCTTTTCTCTCCAAGAATATTTATGTTATTACTGAATTATTTGGGGGGGGGGGGGGGAGCAGCATCAATCATGGTGTAGTGGCTAGGTGATCACCTATGGATCAGAAGTTCGTGGTGATTCCTGTCCTGAAGAAGCCTGGCTTTGTTTCCCTTCAAATGTCCCATGTCGACCCAGTCTTGAGTGGGTACAAGGTAACAATCCTGGGAAGTAAAGGTGGCCGGCATGATGTTGACCACATCACCCACCAAGTGCCAATTGGTCTGTAAGATATAGGTCTAGCCCTATATGCCCACATACCTAAAGGCGTGGCAAAAGGTTCTTATCAAAATATCTATATAAATATTCTCTGCCTCCTATCCCCTACACCCCATATTTGGCATACTCTGACATCATGACCATATCTGTTACTGCTAGACACAACGCCTGCAGTTAGAGTTGAACCAGAAAGGCAAATCATTGCCACTGGAACAACTGGCACTATACACTGCATCGCCACAGGAGAACCAAAGCCTACAATAACTTGGTCCAGAGTCAATGGGCAACTGTCTCCGAATCATCAGGTGAATTTGCTTGTCCCTGTTGCAGTTTTAATTTAATTTGTTGTTGTTGTTGTTGATGGTGTTGTTGTTGTTGTTGTCCTTGTTATCCCATTGCAGATAAGTTGTCTGCTAATGAAATTCCAAGATTTTTTTCTCACAAGGGTGAAGGTCGGTTGTTTCAGAAATTTGTAGAGAGATTTAGTGACTTCTGGGAAAAAAAACTTTTATATAATTTTTTTTTCTTTCAATGCTAGATTTTTTCCTGACTTTTGTAGTTCTTTTATTGTTGTATTTTTTGTTTCCTGTTTAGGAAGCTTTTTTTCTGGCTGCAGCATTCCCCCCTTCCCTTTCCCCAATTTCAGTAGCTATTAACCTGGCTATAGTAAATTTTCCCTATTTGTAACCCTCTAATTTGTTCATATTTTTTCAGTTAATTTTATATATGTAACATTTTGTTGTATATTGTTTCTTCATATAAATATGTAGTGAATAGATAGTAGAATTATGAATGATACATGCCGTAGTGGCCAGAATGGCTTATTAGAATTAAATTGTTTATCACAAACTCAGCCAGTGCTGAGATTGACATTTCTCATTAGCTTTGTTTTGATATACATAAAAGAAAAACAAAATATCATGCATGCCGTCACAATTAACTCAGATTCATACAAGTTCATATTGCAAACAAAGGTCATATACCAAGCAAAGGTTTTAGCCTCTAAATAAAACTTATACCAAGTAAAATGTATACCAAAGCGAACGTATATCTAGGTACCCCCGTACCTTGAGTGGTTTTGTTATTCACAAATGGTCTACCCCTTCCTGCATTGTCTAAAACAAGTGTAAATCAGTAACTATCACTGCCCTACTTTCATTGTCTGAATGGTTCCACAATGCATTTCCTTTCTGTATGTCTTGTCCTGCATAGGTAAAATACCCATATGCTCACTGTGTGTGTATCATTTTCCACAGGTGAGTGGAGAGTACCTGAGAATCCAGCAGGCAACGATGGAAGACCGTGGCATCTATGTGTGCACTGCCTCAAATGTTGTAGGCACCACCCAAGTCTCCACTCTTGTTGAAGTTGAACGTAAGTAGTGGTCGCAGCGTTTGCTTTCATGAAATTACCATCAGCCTCCACAGAATCAGGGATAACCGTTATATTATAAATCACTATAAAATCAGATACTATAAAATGAGAATTGTCATAAAATCATGGGTTACCATAAAATTGTCAGTCAGCATAAAATCATGAATTTTCAAAAATATCATAAAATCGCTGCCAGTCTCCATAAAATTGAGGATAACCATTTTATTATGAATCAACATTGCATATAGATAATCTATTTCAAGCTAACGAATGAAGAAAGAAGAAGAAGATTATTAATCACTATAATATAAATCAGATACCATAAAAAGAGAGTTGTCAGAAAATCATTGGTTACCATAAAATCATGTATCAGCATCAATCATGAACAACTATAAAGTTATAGTTAACTATACAATTATGAATTATAATAAAATCATGGATTACGATAAAATCATGAATCATCACGCATCATGAATTGCCATTGATTCTACACATTGTCTTGTATGTGCAAACACAAAAAAAGCTGTAAAAAAAAACTAAGGTTTCCTTTCAGCTGAGCTGGAATTCACTGCTTTCTCAACATCTTCAGCTCAACTAGATCATACTACTGTGTAAACATTTCCAGCTTACTGGCTTCTATTCCTGTATAAACATTCTTAGCTGAGTTGGATTCTACTCTTATGTAAACATTCTAGGCTGAACTGGATTTTACTCCTAAAAAAACATTTTCGGCTGAACTGGATTCTACTACTGTATAAACATTCTCACCCGAAGGAATTCTACTCCTTTAAAAACATTCTCAGCTAAACTGGATTCTACTCCTGTATAAACATTCTCAGCTAAACTGGATTCTACTCCTGTATAAACATTCTCAGCTAAACTGGATTCTACTCCTGTATAAACATTCTCAGCTAAACTGGATTATACTCCTGTATAAACATTCTCAGCTAAACTAGATTCTTCTCCTGTATAAACATTCTCAGCTTACTGGATTCTATTCCTGTATAAACATTCTCAGCTAAACTGGATTCTACTCTTTTTTAACATTCTCAGCTGAGTTGTATTCTGCTCCTGTCTGAACATCCTTTTGGGGAACATTGGAAGAACAGGTATCACAAGTTTTCTTAATGCTAAGTCTCTAAAGGCTCAGGTGGCTGGTTCACTCAAGAAGAATGGAGGATGGTGGAGTCCCTAAGTACATCCTGTATGGTGAATTACAGATGGTTGGAAGTTGTGTTGCCGATTCAATGTTGTCTTTTGAATCATCTTCTTGTATTGCTCCAGAGAACATTGAGAATATCGGCCCTGTCCATTGCTTTTCCTGTACCTACTGTTGCCCTGCCAGCAAGCCAATCAGCTTGTTCATTCCCTCTTACCCCTGAGTGTCCTGGCACAAAAACGAAGCTAATTCCTTTCAGGTGAAATTTCTTTAGCAACTCCAACCATTTTCTTTGAATCCATCCTGTCTCTGTCTTCTTAAGCTTGCTCGTATAATCACTTAAAAAGCATGTATAGAAAAAATTCTATGTCTTTAGCCACATCATTGCTTTTGTTACCGCCATCACCTCCATAGTGGGTGATGTGGTCAACATAATGACACCTGTCTTTACTTCCCAGAGCTCTACTTGGTACCCATTTAAGGTGAGGTCAACCTTGGAGTCAATGTCAGTTTTGAAAAACTCTGTCTCAGTGTGGATTTGAACCCACAGTTTTTGGATTGGAGGCAAGCATCTAGCTGATGCTCCAAGAAAATTACAAATAGGCCACCTATAACTGCCACACTAGCCCTAATAATCTGCTTTACTGTATGGGTTAAGATGGGATAAGCTTAGCTAATGATAAAGTAACATGTTAGAAACAACTCAATGATCATCTTTGGTTTCAACAACCTAGAATGACTACATATTGTCATATTTTAACATTCTTTGTTGCATTATTACATGGACTTTGTGTGTTTTGTTGTTTCCAGGCCGTGAACCACCAGTGATTGAGCTGTACCCAGATGTCCAGGTAGTCAGACCCATCGGCAGCAGTGCACTATTCCAGTGCCGAGTTATTGGTGGGGTCCCACCTCCAGTTGTGACCTGGACAAGGTCAGCCATTAGATCTTCTTCTTCTTCTTCTTCTTCTTCTTCTTCTTCTTCTTCTTCTTCTTCTTCTTCTTCTTCTTCTTCTTCTTCTTCTTCTTCTTCTTCTTCTCTTCTTCTTCTTCTTCTTCTTCTTCTTCTTCTTCTTCTTCTTCTTCTTCTTCTTCTTCTTCTTCTGCTACTTCTTCTTCTTTGTAGTGTTTACCAAAAATAAGCTCTGGAAGAAAGTTCTGATTGTTCATCCACTCCTGGACTTGTGATCCAGAATCCAGAACTTTAATTTTACAGATCTGGCTCAATTGTATGCAGACTGTTGGTTCTTTACCTCTCAGGCAGATGCACATTGACTTGGAATGAAACACCCTAATTAGTAGCCTCCTGCAACATTTTTGTTGGGGGGGGGGGGGGGGGGGGGGTCTATTCTTTGTTCTCCAAAATGGAACCTCAGAACCCACATAGGAAATCCTTAGATCGAACATGCTCGACTGTTTCAGAAATTATTGGAAGAAACAAAACCTGGCTGATTTCCTTCGCAGATGGTGATGTTTCTTTTTCGAGGCATTTCTCTTTTAAGTTATGTTGGTAAAATGTATGCTAAGATAATAGAAACCCGGCTGTGACCAGTGATAGAACCACGGTCGACAGAAGAACAGATGGCTTTCAGAGAAAATAGAAGCTGCATAGATGCAATCTTCACACTTTAACAGTTAATAGAAAAAAACATCAAATATGATCAGAACTTGTTTACCTGAGCTAACCATCTGGTCTACTGTCTGAGTTGATTGTGTTTACCTGAATCAACCAACTGATCTGCTGCCTTTCATCACATATACATTTGTCCTCCATATACAGGGCGGGTGGCCGTCCATTCAGCAGCAGAACGGAAGTGAAGGCAGATATGGGTGTCATCAGATTCAACTCCATTGGCCCAGAAGAACAAGGAGAGTACATGTGTTCAGCAGCTAATGAAATCGGAACAGTCACGGCTACAGCCAGCCTCAGAGTTGAAGGTTTGTCTTCTTGTATTGTTTCATTTATCTTATTATTAAAAAACTATACACCAGCAACATATTGCAACATACGCCTGTGAGACCTGGACACTTACTAAACAAGCGGAACAGCGCATAAATGCATTTGAATATAAATGTTACAGACAAGTTCTAAGAATATCTTGGGTAAAGAAAAGAACAAATGCATCCATACTTCAAGAGCTGAATATTGAAGAGGGTTGGCTAGTAAAGACAATAAAACAAAGAAAATTGAAATATTTTGGTAACTTGAAACGTCATGGAAGTCTAGAGAGAACAATAATGGAGGGGTATATGCCTGGGAAGAGAGGAAGAGGAAGGCCAAGGAGAAGATGGGTGCAGGATGTGGCAGATGATCTCCAGATGGGTGTATCAGACGCGGGACATCTTGCTCATGATAGGAAGGTTTTCCGGAGGGTTGTTATGGCAGCGAGGTTCCGCGAGGGACATGCTACTGAATGAATGAATGAATACACCAGCTAGATAGTTTAGTTAGTTAGTTAGTTAGTTAGTTAGTTAGTTAGTTAGTTAGTTAGTTAGTTAGTTAGTTAGTTAGTTAGTTAGTTAGTTAGTTAGTTAGTTAGTTAGTTAGTTAGTTTAGTTAGTTAGTTAGTTAGTTAGTTAGTTAGTTAGTTAGTTAGTTAGTCAGTCAGTTATTCAGTAAGTCAGTAAGTCAGTTAGTCAGTTAGTCAGTCAGTCAGTTAGTTAGTTAGTTAGTTAGTTAGTTAGTTAGTTAGTTAGTTAGTTAGTTAGTTAGTTAGTTAGTTAGTTAGTTAGTTAGTTAGTTAGTTAGTTAGTTAGTTAGTTAGTTAGTTAGTTAGTTAGTTAGTTAGTTAGTTAGTTAGTTAGTTAGTTAGTTAGTTAGTTAGTTAGTTAGTTAGTTAGTTAGTTAGTTAGTTAGTTAGTCAGTGAGCCTATAAAATGTAGGCTAGGTCTAGACCTTTATGCTCAAAATGCCTGAAGGAGTTGAAAAGGGCGCTTTAAATTTACATGCAATACTGTAAGAAGCACATTTAAGTTCATAAATAAGACAGAGATAAAGTTAAAAGGTATGAGAAGTATGTGAAGCAAGATATAAACAACACATGTATATTAGATATAAAGAGTCCCTAAAAAATGAAAGAAGTGTCTTTTCTCAAGGAAAGACATGTGATTTGGTCACTAGAGCAAGATTTAGCTGACACTGTTGTCTTTGTCATTAAACCTCTCTGACACTGTTAGTTCCATGACAGATGTACAAAGATAGCATGACCTTAATCAACTTCACTGAAGAAACATCTACGAAGATGATGGAGGACCTGAGGTCATCACCAGCTTATCACAGAAGTAGTCTGGTTGTTCTGGAGTGAGCGAGGAAGATTTGGCTCATAAATGTTTCATTAACTCTTTTACTACTAAATAAATAGCCATATTTGTCTAGGTCATTCCAAAGACAAAATGATGTTCTCGCTGTCTTCTATCACAGACTGTTCTTAAATTAACCCATTGTTTTTCAGTCCTTACTTATTATTTATCTGTCTCCTAGTGTCTATATTAAACCTTTCTAGGTCTGAGTATTTTTTTATTTTTCCAATAGGATGGAAGGAATTAACTTTTTGCCCAATACGCTTACAAAATATGTCACAAATTCCCTAAAAATCCTTTTTTTTTTAAAGTTATCTCACACAGGTCACTAATAAATATTTATTTTAAAAAAAATTATTTATCTACAATTTGTTCCCCAAAAATTTAAAAAGATATATAGAGGAGGTAATCAATAAACATAAACATAGTGAAGCATTCAATGCAATACATTCCTCAGTGGGTAAAAAATATATATATATTATTTGACCGATGTCATGACCTAGTTACCCTTTATCAGTGAGGCTTACCGGAAAAATTTTAAGTCACCATGGCTTTAAAATAGCCATTTGGCTCACAGAAAAAACCATAAATGTTATCTTAAGTTAATATATTTATATTTGGGCCTCCTAAACACTTTACAGGCACTAAAAGAACCAACGTCATTTAACTACACTTTTCAAGAACAGATCACTACTGATATACTGATATATATATATTGTAAAAAAATGTGTCCTAATTAATCCTCTTGGAAGGACAGAGCTGAAGTAAGGGAAGTTTGATACCGCACAAGTTAAATGTACTTAGTATTTCTTCATTTGCCCCATTTATGATGTAGAAATCATAAATAGCCATTTTTTCAATTTACTTATATCAGGTCCACCTATTATTGAGATCACCCCAAGTAAACAGATAATTTCATTGGTTGGCGAAAAAGTCAACATTGAATGTGTAGGTATTGGTGACCCAGTTCCCACGGTGTTCTGGAGATCTGGAATAAAAAGACGGTCAGACGTGCTGCCAGAAGCCTATGATGCCGTGAGTACAACTTTTTATAAATGTGTTTTCTTCTTTGTCTATGTATCTTTTCAAGCTTCAAATGAAAAAAGTTGGCTAAAATATAAAATGTGAAGATAATAATATTCATACCACAGATTTCACGACATTGAGAATTCCGACAGCACTTACATTTAGATACTGAAATATGTTTCCACGAACTAAGACAGGCGGAATAAATATATTCTCCAAAACTTGACACATGTAACATAAAATGTTTCTATAGAATAAGACACATGTAATATAAAATGATTCTACAGAATAAGACACATGTAATATAAAATGTTTCTTCAGAATAAGACACATGTAATATAAAATGTTTCTACAGAATAAGACACATGTAATATAAAATGTTTCTTCAGAATAAGACACATGTAATATAAAATGTTTCTACAGAATAAGACACATGTAATATAAAATGTTTCTACAGAATAAGACACATGTAATATAAAATGATTCTACAGAATAAGACACATGTAATATAAAATGTTTCTACAGAATAAGACACATGTAATATAAAATGTTTCTACAGAATAAGACACATGTAATATAAAATGTTTCTACAGAATAAGACGCATGTAGTATAAAATGATTCTACAGAATAAGACACATGTAATATAAAATGTTTCTACAGAATAAGACATGTAACATAAAATGTTTTTACAAAATAAGACACATGTAACATAAAATGTTTTTACAGAATAAGACAGGTGTAATAAATACATCTCTACAGATAAGACCAGTGGAAAAAATATTTATCTTCAGAATTAGAACAGTGTAATAAATATGTATCTACAAAATAAGAGATGGGATCTACAGAATAAAACAGGGAGAAGAAATATGTTTCCCCAAAACAAGGTATAGGTAATAAATAGTGTACAGAAGACATGTGTAATATGTTCCTCCAAAACAAGACACACGTAATTAATATGTTTCTCTTAAACGAGATACATGTAATAAACATTTTTCTCCAAAGCAAGACACATGCAATAAATATGTTTCTACAAAACAAGATACATGTCATAAATATGTTTCTTTTAAACAAGACGCATGTAATAAATATGTTTCTGCAAAACAAAACATCATCATCATCATCAGGTGCCTTGCTGACTGGCGTGGGCGATCATGTCTCTCCATAATCTGCGATCTCCGCAGCATGTATCAGTTCGTGTGCTGACACACCTCCATGCCATGCAACAAGACTGTCAAGCATCTTCTCTCGTCTTCTTCTATCTCTCCTTCCACACATCTTTCCTGTGGTCACAACATGTTCTATTTTCCCTCTTCTCACAACATGGCCGAAAATGATGACTGTCTCATTCTGATATCTGTGATAAGTTGTCTTCGGGCTCCCGCCTCTTTCAAAACCTCTTGGTTGCTCTTTTTGGCTGTCAAGGTATTCTAAGCATTTTTCTGTAAAACCACATCTCCGAGGCCTCCAGAAATGGTTTGGCCTGCCTACCGATTGTCCAGGATTCACAGCCATATGTTAAAACTGGATGTATATAGCAAGCAAGAATTCTTCAAAACAAGACACATGTAATAATTATGTTTCTATAAAGCAAGACAAGTGTAATAAATATGTTTTATATGTTGTTGTTTTTTTGTTTTTTGGTTCCAGGGTCCAGGAACTGCTGTCCTCCTGTTTGACTCCATCCAGAAGACTGACGCAGGCCAATACATTTGTGTAGCTACCAATGAGAGAGGCCGGGTGGAGGAGACTGTTGATGTATCAGGTTTGCACTCTTGCTGTCTGAATGTTGATTTAGAAAAAAAAATGTCCTATGAGAGAGAGGGGGAGAGAGAGAGAGAGAGAGAGAGAGAGAGAGAGAGAGAGAGAGAGAGAGAGAGAGAGAGAGGAGAGAGAGAGAGGAGAGAGAGAGATGAGAGAGAGAGAGGAGAGAGACGAGAGAGAGAGAGAGAGAGAGAGAGAGAGAGAGAGAGAGAGAGCTATTGCTCTAAAATGAGAAATGAAGCTAGACAGTTGTAAATACATCTGTTTAAGGAAAAGTACAAACTGGGGAATCACATATGATCAGCAATGTCAGATATGGTGTGAGACTTTTGGAACTGAAGGGGCCCTATGGCCAGTCACATAGTGATAGGTCTGACTTTGGTAGAGTCCACCCAGAGTAACCACTACAGAAGATGGACCCATAAGTGCTCTTTTCTGCTTCTAACTCAAGCCTGAGTCCAAAGAATCTCAGCGCAGTGCACAAACTCTGTAGCACAGGCGAGGATCCTGAACTACTTTGGGTAGATTTTTAACTCCAAATTTTGCCTGGGCAGTGCCATTAGGCTACTCTATTTGATTTCCAAAAGCCAAGATATTTGTTTGCGTGTGCAACAATACACACGGGCATCCGATCTTATTAACCAGAGACCAGAGAAAATGACTAGAAGTCCACGTGAAAAAATCCCAGCCTTAACTGGGGCCTGAACTGGGGACCTCCAGTGGACGCCATGCTTCGAGACCACTCAGCACCTTCAGGAGATAAGTTCACTCAGACACACCACTACGAGAAATGGGTCCACCTAGAGAAGCCACTATGAGAAATGGGTCCACCCAGAGACACCACTACGAGAAATGGGTCCACCTAGAGAAGCCACTATGAGAAATGGGTCCACCCAGACACACCACTACGAGAGATGGGTCCACCTAGAGAAGCCACTATTGATCCTGGGTCCACCCAGAGACACCACTACGAGAGATGGGTCCACCTAGAGAAGCCACTATTGATCCTGGGTCCACCTAGAGATAGTGATGCTAGTTCCACCCTTTAAGTGACAGAGCCAGTAGTGCTCATGGGTTTACTCAACTTCTGTACAGATCTAGAGACAATCTATGCATTCTCTCTTTGTCTGTTATTTTAATTTTGTGTGCATTCTATTGTGAGCTTTTTCTGGGTCAACTATTCAATCTTTGCATTCTATGTCTGGTTTTCCTGTTATTTCTTTTTTTCTAATTTGTTTCTGTTGATTCTGTGTGTATCTACAAAAATACATCCAAAGATGTCAATGCGTTGTGCCCATTTACAACATGGCAGCAATATCTGTGCCTTTCGGCCAACACATCCTACTTCTGCAAGCATTTGTTGCCTGGGTCAGCCTTCCTAATTAGTTTTGTGGGACATTGTAGTCTCGTTGTGTGGTCATCTTTGCTTCCTAGTCCACAGGTGGTGCCCTCATCAGGCTGGTCCAGAGAAGCCACAAAATGCTGGTCAACCCTCAGTAGAAGATAGGGACAGAACATGAGCATTCTCCACCATCCAAGAAGGCTTCCATAAGTGCAGAGCCAAAACATATTGCTCTGATACTGAGCTTATCCAAGAAATCATCACATCCTGCTCATGACTGTTTAACCATGACCAACTCCCGCTGACGGGCCGTGCTGCTGACGTAACCGTGTCAGGCTTACAATACGTTAACGCAGCGGTTCTCAAACAAGAAATAAACTATTTTTGACAGTGGCGAGGGAAGACAACTTAAATTTTAACTTTTAAGTTTCTACATGCCTTCTATAATAATTTCACAATTTTTAGCTGACTTTTCTTGATTATTGTAGAAGTTACACTTATATTTTGAGAGATTCTGAGCACCTATGAATGTGTCCAGAGTGCCACTCTGGACACATTCATAGGTGCTCAGAATCTCTCAATATATAAGTGTAACTTCTACAAATTTAGCAACCATATACATGTATTTTCAACAAATGTAACCACTATATATAGTACCTTCTATAAATTTAGCCACCATATATATATATATATATATATATATATATATATATATATATATATATATATATATATATATATATATATATATATATATATATATATATATATATATATATATATATATATATATATATATACACCTACAAATTTAGCCACCATATACATGTACCTTCTATACATTTGGCCACCATATATGTATACCTTCTACAAATTTAGGCACCAATACATGTACTCCTGCACATTTAACCACTATATAAATGTACCTTCTACAAATTTAGCCACCATATACATGTATGTTTTTGCATATTTAGTCACCATATACTTGTATCTTCTACATATTTAGCCACCATAAACATCTATCTTCTACACATTTAACCTCTAGACACATTATTTTCTACACATTTAACCTCTAGACACATTATTTTCTATACATTTAGCCTCTGTACACATTATCTTCTACACATTTTGCCACTGTACGCATGTATCTTTTACATATTAAGCCACCATATATTTTCATGTATGTATGTCTTCCCCACAGTTATTGATGGTGGTGGTCCTGTCCGTCCAAGTGTGTCTATTACTGGTCCTGAACGTCTAAGTTTGACCGTTGGCCAGTCAGTAGAGCTGACCTGCTCTTCTCAAGGACTACCAAATCCAAGAATTCGATGGAGACGACCTGGAAACCAACCTTTACCCCCAGGACACAGTGTGAGGAATGGTGTATTGTACATTCCCAGAATAGAGCCAGAATATGCTGGAGAGTACATCTGTTCAGTTGAAAGTGAGACTGTGGGCACAGAGTTTTCTGCAACCGTTTACATCATCGTCAGTGGTAAGTTGATCCATTCTTGACAAATTTCACCCCTTTTTTTTTAACTTCAGAAGTTTGTTACCTTCACTCTCTAAGCCTTGGACAGATATTACCCTCACTTTTTCTGTTACAGACATTTATTACCTTGACTCTTTCTGTCCAAAACATTTATTACCTTCATTCTTTCTGTCCAAGACACATTTTTAACTTCACTCTTTCTGTCCAAAATATTTATTACCTTCACCCTATCTGTCCAAGACATTTATTACCTCCACTCTTTCTGTCCAAGACATTTATTACCATCACTCTTTCTGTCCAAGATATTTATTACCTTCATTCTTTCTGTCCAAGACATATTTTTTACTGCACTCTTTCTGTCAAAGACATTTATTACCTTCACTCTTTTTGTCAGAGACATTTATTACCTTCACTCTTTCTGCCTAAGACATTTATTACTTTCATTCTTTCTGTCCAAGATATATTTTTCCTTTCACTCTTTCTGACCAAAACATTTATTACCTTAATTCTTTCTGTCCAAGACATTCATTACCTTCACTTTTTCACTCTAAGACATTTTATTACCTTGGCTCTTTCTGTCCAAGACATTTATTTCCTTGACATTTATTACCTTCTCCCTTTTTGTCCAAGATATTTATTACCTTCACCCTTTCTGTCCAAGATATTTATTACCTTCACTCTTTTTGGTAAAGACATTTATTACCTCTCACTCTTTTTGTCCAAGAATTGTAACATTTTACATAATGGATAACAATTGTTTCTGTTTATTGGATATTTCACATAAATGGATGACAATTACTTGCTTCTAAAATCACAGTAACACCAAGACTGACCATCACTCCATCTCGAGTCACTTCCAGACCTGGTCAGCCTCTCCAGTTGAGATGTCAGCCTAGTGGACAAGGTCCGTTTACTGTTGAGTGGACTAAGCTTGATGGACAGCTGTCACCCCAGGCCAGAGAACGAGATGGAGTGTTAGAGATACGCCAGGTGACCCGTGCAGATGCTGGACGATACAGATGTGTGGCCACTGGTGCTGGTGGCTCCAGTGATGGTTTTGCTGATGTTATAGTTCTTGGTGAGTTCTATGTAGAACTTATTTTTTACATATCTTTCACTACAGAAATAATTTGACACCAAAGTGACCTTTTCTTTTTCATCCAAAAAATGACCTTGGCTCCCAGGTCGACCCAGACTTAAATGAGTACCAGGTAAAGTCCTGGAAAGTTAAGGTGGCTGGTGTGATGTTTACCACATCACGTACATAGTGCTAGTGGGTATATAAACTATAGGTCTTGCCGTTGGTAAATAAATTATAGGTCTTGCCCTTTATGCCCAATACCCCTGAAGGCATTGAAAACATTTGTAGGAAACACAAGAATAGACCCATTGCCTCCCCTACAAGCATATCTTAAGTGTTGACAAATTTGGGTTTTTCTTCCAAGTCGGAGTGTGTCCACCCGAGCCACAAGCAACAACCTACTGCACACAAATATGCCAGTAAAACAGATGTGCATGCAAAACTCAGGCCCTAGCACAAAGCAAAAGTCCAAATAGTTGAACAACCAGGACTTTCCGCTGTAGCTTACAGCCAGCGAACAAAGAAGAAGAAGCCCTGTTCCAGAAGCATCTTAAATGTGACACTGCACCTCCATATCCTTGTAAAAAGATGTTTTTGTATTTGGTCTACAGCTCCCCCTGTGGTTGATGTGATCCCCAAACAGAATCTGGCTGTGATCGGAAGTACACTGGAGATCAGGTGCAACGTCCAGGGAGACCCTCCACCTGATGTTCAGTGGGAGAAGGAACGTGGACAGTTGCCCCCGCAGCACCAGATCAGAAATGGCATCTTAACGTAAGTCCATCTGACAAAATGACTCTCTTCTGTAAACCCAGTTGTCACTATACATACTCCCAGTTAACATAACAAATCCTTCCAGTTGCCACCATACATCCTCCCAGTTTTCACTATACATCCTCACAGATGCCACTATACATCCTCCCAGTTTTCACTATACATCCTCCCAGTTTTCACTACACATCCTCCCAGTTGTCACTATACATCCTCCCAGTTTTCACTATACATCCTCCCAGTTTTCACTACACATCCTCCCAGTTGTCACTATACATCCTCCCAGTTTTCACTATACATCCTCCCAGTTTTCACTATACATCCTCCCAGTTTTCACTATACATCCTCCCAGTTTTCACTATACATCCTCCCAGTTTTCACTATACATCCTCACATTTTCACTATTCATCCTCCCATATACGTCCACATATTTGTCACTATACATCCTCCCAGTTGTCATTATTCATCCTCCCAACTGTCACTATACATCCTTCCAGTTGTCATTATACGTTCTCCCATTTGTCACTATTCATCCTCCCAGTTGTCACTATACATTCTCCCAGTTGTCACTGTATATCCTCCTAGTTGTCACCATACATCCTCCCATTTGTCACTATACATTCTCCCAGTTGTCACTATACATCCTCCTAGTTGTCACTATACATCCTCCCAGTTGTTTGTATACATCCTCCCAGTTGTCACTATACATCCTCCCAGTTGTCACTATACATCCTCCCAGTTGTCACTATACATTCTCCCAGTTGTCACTATACATTCTGCCAGTTGTCACTATACATCCTCCCAGTTGCCACTACACACATCCTATTATGCATTATCCTTTCTCCCAGTTATCACATTCCTGTCACCTATGTGTTACTCTCCTTTCTTCTTTTTGCCACTCTTATTTACCCCATTTGTCACTCTCCTTTTCCCCCATGGTTATTCTTCTTTCTCCCACTTGTTACTTTTCTTTGTTTCCATTTGTTACTCTCCTTTCCACATATGTCACTCTCCTTCCCCTCTTTTCTCACTCTTCTTTCTCCCATTAGTAAGTCTTCTTTCTCCCATTTGTTACTCCCCTTAATCTCAATTGTTACTCCCCATTATACTTTCCTTTCTCTCATTTTCATTCTTAATTCTTCCATATGTTAGTCTCCTTTCTCACATCCACCACTGCACATATTCAACGATTACTTTGTATGTTTCTAACTATAGAATCTACAACATACAACCACAGGATTCAGGCAGATACGTGTGCACGGCCTCCAATGACGCAGGGACTGTAAGTGCATTCACTATCGTGACTGTGGAGGGTAAGTGTTTACTGTCACCATTTATTCATTGTGAAAGCTCCATGAATGTCCCACTACTTGTGTGTTTGGTTCTTGGTGAATTTTGAATGTTGAATTAAGAATTGACATCACAGCACCCGGGACACTCCCATAAGCGCTCTGTCCCCATCTTCAGCAGCAAGTGAAGAGTTCCTATTCCGATGGCACCAGTAACTGTCTAATTGTATATCCGTCTCATCTTTCCCCTAAGTGTTGAGCGTCGGCCAGATTCCCTCGTGACTCCTTGCAGCACCATTCTCCTCAAGCCATAATGATCTATCTTTGCCTCCGCACTGTTCACTCGTTCCCAAAAGTCCCTCATAATATCTAGCTTGTCATAAAGGTAAAGTTGGGAGATGTGAACCAGTGTCATTGCACACGGTTATAAACCATAAGTGCTCTGCCACCAGTACAGACAGCTAATAAGAAACTGTCTGCCTGTGCCGCTGTCCTCACGCAACTCCGTAGCTATAGCGACGTTCCTCAATTTACCCCAGAGTGTTAACTCTGGTACCCATTAAGTACCCATTAACTAGAGGCTGGGTTAACCCCGGCAACCGCCCAGTTTTGAACACTGGCCGTGGGCTGTAGTGAGTCTCAGCTGGATTTGAAAGCGAGTCTCCTATCGATTGTGCTAACACGGCCCCATTAGATTGTCATACATCAGTTCACCACCAAGTTATGCAGAGCCGGCCAGTCTATCTGCCCGCTCATTTTGTTTGTTTCTTGAATATCCCATTACATGTATTCTGGCTCTGTGAACATTGCACTAGTTGTATGTTTGGCTCTGTTAATAACCCACTACATGTATGTTTGGCTCTCTGAATATCCCACTACATGTATGTTTGGCTCTGTGAATGTTCTAATAAATGTATTTTTGGCTCTGTGAATATTCCACTAAATGAATATTTAGCTCTCTGAATATCCCACTACATGTATGTTTGGCTCTCTGAATATCCCACTACATGTATGTTTGTCTCTCTGAATATCCCACTACATGTATGTTTGGCTCTCTGAATATCCCACTACATGTATGTTTGGCTCTCTGAATATCCCACTACATGTATGTTTGGCTCTCTGAATATCCCACTACATGTTTGTTTGGCTCTCTGAATATCCCACTACATGTATGTTTGGCTCTGTGAAGATTCCACTAGTTGAATGTTTGACTTTGTAAATACCTCAGTATGTGTGTGTGTGTGAAAAAAACTCCAGCAAATGCAACTAAATATTAGCCATGTTTATCATTTTTCATGTTATTTCTCTGTTGATCTTTATGTAAATACTAGCCTGCTTTCCCAGTCACAATGAACATTTCTAATATAGGGAATGTTTTGAGCAGTTTCTTACTATCATATTATTCAAAAAAGACACCCAAGAAGCTCTAAAGAAGTACCAAGTGACCAGTCTTTGATGTCATGAACCATCAAATGTAGGAAGCAAGCTGATAACTTTACTGTTTCCCTCCTCCTTCTCTGTCCCTGCCCACCTTCCTCTTTCTCATGTCACATTTTTGATAACTTGATGCACCCCTCCCCCCTTTTCCATGTGTAGCAGATACGATAATGTGACTGTCCTCTCCCCCCCCTACCCCTCCCTATTTTTGGGTCCATGTCCAGCAGAATTGATTGTTCTGTGATCCCTCATGTGAAGCCTAAGTCCGAGTTCTAAATATAAACATTTTTATTTTGTCAAAGTTTTCAGAATATGGAAACTTCCAGAAATATGGTAAAGAATCTGGCAAGCTTATGTACAGGTTGTTTGTATTTTTGCAGATCCATTTGTTTCCACTGGTGCAGGAGTCCAGAGAGTAGGAGTTGGTGATCGTGTGGAGCTGGAGTGTGTTGTCACAGGTATCTGGTCTTGTCACAATTCATTTTGTTTGAGATGGAGTGTGTTGTCACAGGTATCTGGTCTTGTCACAATTCATTTTGTTTGAGATGAAGTGTGTTTTCACAGGTATCTGGTCTTGTCACAATTCATTTTGTTTGAGATGGAGTGTGTTGTCACAGGTATCTGGTCTTGTCACACTTGATTTTGTTTGAGATGGAGTGTGTTGTCACAGGTATCTGGTCTTGTCACACTTGATTTTGTTTGAGATGGAGTGTGTTTTCACAGGTATCTGGTCTTGTCACAATTCATTTTGTTTGAGATGGAGTGTGTTGTCACAGGTATCTGGTCTTGTCACACTTGATTTTGTTTGAGATGGAGTGTGTTGTCACAGGTATCTGGTCTTGTCACACTTGATTTTGTTTGAGGTCCTTGGTTTTTTCAGTTGCATTCTTCTTCTTCTTCAGCTGCCTCATCTGAACTCTACAGTCCTCTACACTTTTTTTTTTTTTTACATTTTAATGAAGTTGAAGTTGTTCACATTTTGTTTACTGCCCCTCTGTTCCAGTATACCCCTTCCATCTTTCCCTGCCTCTCTCTCACATTAATTTGCCAAGTATTTCCTTATAGTTAGCTTTACCCTTCTCCACTCTCTCTCTCTCCTTCTCTCTCTCCTGCCCCTCTCTCTGCCTCACTCCCTCTCTAGCTCTCTCTATGTCTCTCTCCATATCTCTCTCTCCCTCTCTCTATTTCTCTCCCTCTCTCTATTACTCTCTATCTCTCTCTCTCCCTCTCTCTATCTCTCTACCCCTCTATCTCTCCCTCTATCTCTCTCCATCTATCTCCCTCTGTCACTATCCCTCTCTTTATCTCTCTCTCACTCTCTCTCCTTCTCTCTCCCTCTCCTCCTCCCCCCTCTCTTTGACATATATGAGTATGTTTGAGTAGTCGTAGTCAAGATTTTAATTTTACTGCAATTGGTTCACCCCATACATGCTCCTTTTAAATCAAAGTAATTGTCAGTCCCTGTCCCTTATAAACAAAAAAATTAGTCACAGCACAATCCAGAAATACACACACACACACTAAATGCATAAGATGGTTGCCAGAGGCGCCAATGCCAACAGTCATCACTAGAAATGGAGTTTGTTGTTGACAGAAGTAGCTGGTCACAATAAGCTTAACATACGCACACACAATTATTACACAAGGTATTTCACCAGCCCATAAGTACACCGTCTACCCACCATACTGAATACAATGACAGAACAGCTGCACACATGAAGTGCATTCCACATGAAAAACACAGCACACAGTGCTCACTTAACTCAGTAGCTTAGGTAGCAAAACCATAAACTTCTGTTTGTATGTGGCTACTGCACTAGCAAAGCACTGTTAGAAGAAAAAAAATAACATTGAAGCAAAGTATTTTGCCATGGCTATCCTCCATATTGAGCAGAATGTGTGTATCTATGAGTATGTTTGTGTTTATAAGAGGGTGTGTGGCTATGTATGCATGAGTACATGAGTGTGATTAGGTCTTGTGTGTACATACGTGTGGTATGTATTTATGTATGTACTAGCTGTACCCAGCCACACGTTGCTGTGGTCCAGAATGGTGAAAGGGAAAAGAAAATAAAATAGCTGTCAGCTAACAGTGTCTCACATACCCCCCACTCCCCCTCTGACCCAGTCATATCTCCCTCTCCGAAGAATTGAAAAATCATCTCTGGTGAAATTATTAAAATAGAAATAGTTAAGAAATGAGATTTGTAAAATAATGTTTTAAACTCTCTCAGCTAACTGTGTCTGGCATAACCCCCACCCCCACCCCCACCCCCACCCCCTCTCCCCCAATCATATCTCTCTCTCCAAAAGATTGAAAAATCATCACCTGGTGAAATTATTAAAATAGAAATACTTAGGAAATGAGAACTTTAAAATAATGTTTTAAGCTCTCTCAGTTAACAGTGATGGCATCAAACCCCCTTACCCCCCCCCCCTTTTTCCACTAATCATATCATCCTCTCAGAAGGATGGGAAAGTCATCATCTGACAAAATGTTAGTTAGTTGCGTATCCTTTACAGGACGTTGCAGAACCAACCCTAACAGCCCCTGGCTGTTGTGTGGTTTCTCTAGGCAATTTACATCCAGTAGTTTGCCATTTCTTTCTGGACGGTTGGCTTTCTTGATACCACTGTCGAAACCAACGCAAGGTGCATTGCCCGCAGCTAGGATCGAACCTGGCATCCCAGCATTAGGAAGCGAAGCGTTCGCATCGACTTATCCACAGAGCCGACATCTGACAAAATATTGTAACTAAATTGAGCTTGGCATCCGTATCACCCAGACTAAAATGGGTAGCATTAATTTGTACTGAGAAGTAAATGTGGCCAGTGTAACAGCTACCACATCACCCATCCAGAACCAGAACTACTGCTACCACTACAACTACCACCACCACCATCACAACTACAACAAAAACTGTCACTACAGTCTGTGTAGGTTGGTGTAGCCAGAGGAGTTAGCACCGCATGGTGTCGCCACGGACTGGTTATTTTTATTTTGCCCCCAACATAGGCAAAAAAAAAACTAATCACCTAACCAGTGATGGAACCCACAGTAAAAAGTACACTATACTCACAAATATCAGAGAAAAATACCCCCTACCCATTATCTCTCCCTCTCCGAAGGGACGATTTGTAACCGACCTTGGCATCCGTGTCCACCCAAACTAAAGTGGACTGTAAGCCGTCTTAGTTAACAGTTTCTATCATCGCCAAATAGTTTTTGATCGAGAAGCGTCGCGTGGAAGCTAACTGGACTTTACTGAAATCGGATGTCTTTGGGGGAAAGGTGCAGATATCACAGTCTAGCTGTAAACAAACACAAAACAACGTGGCAACCATCCTATTAAGGGAAAAAGAACACCGATTCGAACACTGGTCACTTGCGTGAAGGGTAGAATACTTACAACTATACTACCGAACACTGAAGAGTTTAGGTCACAGCCTAGCTGTACACCACAACACAACGTGCCAACGGCCCTCTCGAGGGCGAACGAAGATTACCCGTGACATGACCTTTGAGCATCACGTCGCCACTATCACAGGCTAGCTGTAAACCCCATGACCGAAAAATTGGCATAGATATAGCAGCCTAGCCATAAACCACAACACAATGTGCCAGCTGCCCAGTTAAAGGAAACCCAAAAAAAAATTGTATCACCTAGCGGGGAATCGAACGCGGGTCACCCGCATGAGAGGCAGAATATTTACAACTACGCTACCAAAGACTCAAGTAGTTAGTGGAAATGAAATTATTTAATAATGTAATTGGCAGCCCTGCTCAGCAGTCAAAAATGGCCAATTAACTTAAAACAAATCTGGGCCGGCAACCAAAAAAATAATGATTTGACCGTTGCTGGAGCTACGTCGTTCGTGATTTGTGCGATTTTTATGACATAAAAACATGCTTTGAGTCAAAGGCAACGTTGTGTGAAAATTTGAAAGCAATCGGTTCAGTAGTTTCCGAGTTTATAGTTAACAGACTCGGAAAATTAACTTTATTAATATAGAAGATGTACATGTATATAAGTGTGTATGATAGTGGGGTTGTATATCCATAAATGAGGGAAGGGGGGTGGGGTAAGTGTGTGCATGCATGTTTGTATGTATGTATGTGTGTGTATGAGTGTATATAAGTGTGTATGATAGTGGGTTTGTATATCCATAAATGAGGGAAGGGGGGTGGGGTAAGTGTGTGTATGCATGCATGTTTGTATGTATGTATGTATGTATGTGTGTGTATGAGTGTATATAAGTGTGTATGATAGTGGGTTTGTATATCCATAAATGAGGGAAGGGGGGTGGGGTAAGTGTGTGTATACATGCATGTTTGTATGTATGTTTGTGTGTGTATGAGTGTATATATGTGTGAGTGTATATAGGCATGAGTATGCATGTATATGAGTGAACATATGTATATTTGAACATATGTTTATCCATCCATGGTTTGGTTGTTTCTTTCTGTATTCATATTATATATTTTGCCATTGACATAAAATGATTTATAGATAGAATGTGGGAAAGATAAGTATTTGGAAGGGCAAAATGTAAGAAGGGACTGCTTGCCAAATCTGGAACCCTTTTAAAATAAAGCTAATTTGTTTGTTGTTCATTTATTTGCACTTACCAAGCATTTCTTCACATACCTTTCATTCTTTCTCTCTCTCTCTCTCTCTCTCTCTCTCTCTCTCTCTCTCTCTCTCTCTCACTCTCTCTCTCTCTCTCTCTCTCTCTCTTTCTCTTACTCTCTCTCTCTCACTTGCCAATTATTTTCCCAGGTATACCTTTCTCTCTCTCTATAGGCTTGTCTAAGTGTCCTCCAGTCTGAATGTGATATTTGTCTTTAGGTATGACATTCTCCTTTTTGTCAATGGTACCCCCCCCCCTCCCCTTTTTGTTTGTGTGTGTGCGTGCATGTGTGCGCACGCGCCTGCGCACCATATTTTCTCCTTGGTGTCTGTCATGCTATCTTTTAGCATTCATCTTTGAAGACAATTTCTTCTGTCTCCTTTACTTTCAAATAAATGTAATCAAACATTGCAACTTGATTGGTTGCAAGCTCCATTTAAACAAATGCTATGAAACAATGAACATTAACTGGTTGCAGTCTCCATTTAAATCAATGTGATGAAACATTAAACATGAATTGGCTGCAGGCTTATTTTATATAAATGTGATGAAACAATGAACATGGATTGGTTGCAGGCTCCGTTTCCCCGGCAGTCACCTGGACCAAGGTTGAAGGTCCTCTGCCTCAATCAGCCATCATAGGTTCTGGCATTCTCATCATCCCAGAGGTCAGGACTGAGGATGCTGGCACGTACCAGTGTACTGTCACCAACCCTCAAGGCACGGTCAGATCTCGAGTAGAGCTTGTTGTTCAAAGTAAGTCACAGACATCATCATCTTCCTCTTTCTTACTTCTTCTTTCTTTCTTTCTTTCTTTCTTTCTTTCTTTCTTTCTTTCTTTCTTTCTTTCTTTCTTTCTTTCTTTCTTTCTTTCTTTCTTTCTTTCTTTCTTTCTTTCTTCTTCCTCTCCTTCTTCTTCTTCTTTTTCTTCTTCTTCTTCTTCTTCTTCTTCTTCTTCTTCTGCTTCTTCTTCTGCGTCTTCTGCTTTTTCTTCTGATTCTTCTTCTGCTTCTTCTTCTGCGTCTTCTGCTTCTTCTTCTGATTCTTCTTCTTCTTTATCTTCTTTTTCTGCTTCTTCTTCTGATTCTTCTGATTCATTTTCTCCTTATTCAAATTCTTCAGATTCTTTTCTTCTTCTGATTCTTTTTCTTTTTCTTCTCTTTCTCCTTCTGACTTTTCTGATTCTTCCTCTGCTTCTTCTTCTTATTCTTCTAATTCTTCTGATTCTTCTTCTTCTTCTGATTCTTCAGATTCATCTTCTTCTTGTTTCTTCTACTGCTTCCTCTCCTTCTAGTGCCCCTAACTTTTCTGTTGACAGTGTTAGAAGAGTTCTCCTGTTGACTTTGATCTGGACTGAGTTATTAGAGGTTTATATTCAGACCTCAGTGGGGCAGGGTCATTTGTTTTGAAAACTTGAGGATCTTTGCTATTTTTGCTCACTGTCTCTTGCTTCTGGCAAATTCTAACTGTCTGATTTATATTGTACACAAATATATTAGCAGAAGCCTGTCTTGGCCCTATCTAGCAGCATTCTTGTTTTGTTTTTCTCTAGGTCAACCTGTTTTTTCGGTCCAGCAAGATTACACAACAGCTGCCTTGGGAACCCCAGCTCAACTGAGATGTGATGCCTCTGGGTCACCTCAACCTAGAATTTCCTGGGTCAAGGAGGATGGAGAATTGCCATAGTATGTTGAGGTTTTCTTTCAGCAGATGTGCCTTAGAACTTAGTCGGACAAATATATCACTTCCTTTAACATGTTTCTTGTTTTGTAAGACAAGGAACAAAAAGTAACATGAAAAAATATATTAACAACTCAGATTTGCTTACAGAGAGACATGGTGTTACATTGAAAAGCAAGTGTTAAATAAATAGACTCATATCTTTTAGTATCTATCATACAGAAACACTGAAAACGTTGAGGAAAATATACACTTTTGAAAATTTGATTGTCCATAGCCTGAAATTCCATGGGAGAAGAGAAAAACCTCTCCAGGCAGTCACTCCTGACTTTAACTGATTTAGAGAAATAACAATCATATGTTAATATCTGACTTTATCTGATGTAGGGAAATAACAAATATATATTAATATCTGACTTTATCTGATGTAGAGAAATAACAATCATATGTTAATATCTAACTTTATCTGATGTAGAGAAATAACAATCATATGTTAATATCTGACTTTATCTGATGTAGAGAAATAACAATCATATGTTAATATCTGACTTTATCTGATGTAGAGAAATAACAAACATATGTTAATATCTGACTTTATCTGATGTAGAGAAATAACAATCAAATGTTAATAACTGACCTAATCTGATGTAGAGAAACAACAAGCATATATTAATGCCTGACTTTATCTGATGTAGAGAAATAACAAACATATGTTAATATCTGACTTTATCTGATGTAGAGAAATAACAAACATATGTTAATATCTGACTTTATCTGATGTAGAGAAACAATAAACATATATTAATGCCTGATTTTATCTGCTGTAGAGAAACAATAAACATATATTAATGCCTGATTTTATCTGCTGTAGAGAAGCAAGAAACATATATTAATGCCTGATTTTATCTGCTGTAGAGAAACAATAAACATTTATTAATGCCTGATTTTTATCTACTGTAGAGAAACAATAAACATATATTAATGCCTGATTTTTATCTGCTGTAGAGAAACAATAAACATATATAAATACCTGATTTGTATCTGCTGTAGAGAAACAATTAACATATATTAATGCCTGATTTTATCTACTGTAGAGAAACAATAAACATATATTAATACCTGATTTTTTTTGCTGTAGAGAAACAATAAACATATATTAATGCCTGATTTTATTTGCTGTAGAGAAACAATAAACATATATTAATGCCTGATTTTATCTGCTGTAGAGAAACAATAAACATTTATTAATGCCTGATTTTATCTGCTGTAGAGAAACAATAAACATATATTAATGCCTGATTTTTATCTGCTGTAGAGAAACAATAAACATATATTAATGCCTGATTTTATCTGCTGTAGAGAAACAATAAACATATATTAATGCCTGATTTTTATCTGCTGTAGAGAAACAATAAACATATATTAATGCCTGATTATATATGCTGTAGAGACACAACGAGCATATATTGATAATGCCTGACTGCTGTAGAGAATTAACAAGCATATAATAATAATGCCTGATTTTATCCATTGTTCCAGTGAGCATTCTGTGCTTGAAGGTGGTGACTTGTACATTCCAAAAGTCAGAACAGAAGACAGTGGCACCTACAACTGCCTAGCATCAAATACATATGGGACCTCTAAGCATCCAGTGATACTCTTTGTTGGAGGTGAGTGAATCCAGTTCTTCTTCTTCTTCTTTCATTCGCTTGAAATAAATTATCTATATCTGCAATGTTGACTCTAGTATGAACTTCACTGCCTTTTGTAATTCACTCAGCATCCCATAAAGTTTGACTTGCACCGATGTTTCTCTTGGCCAAAAGTTTTGCTCTAATATTTTTATTTGGGACAGTCTTGGAGGACATGATCTGTTGTCTCAGGTGCCAGTCCACATGTGCACATGGTTGATTCGCTGATTTTAAATTGTGTGTACTCCAGTGAAACTTTTTGTTGGAGGTGAGTGAATCCAGTGATACTCTTTCTTGGAGGTGAGTGAATCCAGTGATACTCTTTGTTGGAAGTGAGTGAATCCAGTGATACTCTTTGTTGGAGGTGAGTGAATCCAGTTATACTCTTTGTTGGAAGTGAGTGAATCCAGTGATACTCTTTGTTGGAGGTGAGTGAATCCAGTGATACACTTTGTTGGAGGTGAGTGAATCCAGTGATACACTTTTTTGGAGGTGAGTGAATCCAGTGATACTCTTTGTTGGAGGTGAGTGAATCCAGTGATACACTTTGTTAGAGGTGAGTGAATCCAGTGATACACTTTGTTGGAGGTGAGTGAATCCAGTGATACACTTTGTTGGAGGTGAGTGAATCCAGTGATTCACTTTGTTGGAGGTGAGTGAATCCAGTGATAAACTTTGTTGGAGGTGAGTGAATCCAGTGATACACTTTGTTGGAGGTGAGTGAATCCAGTGATACTCTTTGTTGGAGGTGAGTGAATCCAGTGATACACTTTGTTGGAGGTGAGTGAATCCAGTGATACCCTTTGTTGGAGGTGAGTGAATCTAGTGATACTCTTTGTTGGAGGTGAGTGAATCCAGTGATAATCTTTGTTGGAGGTGAGTGAATCCAGTGATACACTTTGTTGGAGGTGTGTGAATCCAGTGATACACTTTGTTGGAGGTGAGTGAATCCAGTGATACTCTTTGTTGGAGGTGAGTGAATCCAGTGATAATCTTTGTTGGAGGTGAGTGAATCCAGTGATACACTTTGTTGGAGGTGAATGATTAGATGTTTCTGGTTGGGTTAGAATACTCATGACAAATTAGTAGAGATAGGTTTTAATCCCTTTGAATCCAAACGTTTGTTATCTACAAGTGGTACAGTAAAGTTAACCCCCAAGTTATATTTTTGAAGAAGTAGCTTGTTATGTATATTATTCCCTAGGGAGCATAAACCTTTTACCATTGCATGTCAAGTTTTTGTTTCTTTTGTAGTTCTTTCCATGTATAACCATATTGCCTATTTTTCTGCTTTTTTTTTCCTATTTTGTATTTGCCTTGTGCATTTAAAAAAAAAGTTACACAAAGAAATGGAACAAATTATGACAATCCTTAAAACTAAAATGAAGAGTTTTTGAACAGTGTACAAAAAGAGGACATATAATGTTGTTTGTCCATTTTAGTTTTATAAAACTTGTTTATTTGTTCATAAATAATCAATTTCCACTGCATGGAACCAATATAGTTCAAAACATAATTTTAAGAAAATCTGGTCACACAGAAGAGCTTTTCTGTCCAGCTGTTAACAAACATGAGATGCTAAAACAATATATTGATTATACTTGCTCAGTAAACTTGAATGACCAGTTTCGATCATTCCTAGTTAACATTAGAACCATTAAACAATTGTGTTTATTGTCTGCATTATTTTCTTCCACAGCTTTTGTTCCTTACTTCCAGCAAAATCCAGTTTCCTACATCAGCTATGAGCCATTGAGAGATGTCTATCTGGACTTGGACATCCTTCTCTCCTTCAGACCTGAAGCCACTGATGGTCTTCTTTTGTACAACAGCCAGTACAAAACTGATTCTGGGGATTTTGTTTGCTTCGGACTCCAGGGACAGTACCCAGAGTTCAGGTTTGTGGCAGCAGATGTCCAGTATTCAGTGGCTACATGGTTGCGGCTTTGACTTCTTTAACAAATCTATGAGTCTACAATGCTTCTTCTTCCACTTCTTGTTCTCCTCCTTCTTCTTCTCTTCTTTCTCTTCCTCCTCCTCATCCTCCTTTTCATCTTCTTGGGCTGCTGTTGCCGGTTCTCCTTCTCTCCCTTCTTCAGTGTTTAGAAAATGTCACGCTTTAAGTGTAGTCCCATTGCCAGCAGTGTAAATGCCCTTTCTTCCATGTCACTGTGAAAGACTGTTAGCTTTACATTCTCAGATCATGTCCATCAGTTAGGTCATTGTAGCTCCCTTATCTTCAGTATGTTTTCAAGTCTTATACACCTGTTTCTTGTCTACATTCACCTGTTGGGACACCTGAGTCCATGTCAGAATAGGTGGCCTATTCTTGTATCAAGAAGGGTAGTTAGAATTTTAGGGTCCACACAAACAATACTTCTTCTTCCACTTCTTGTTCTCTTCCTTCTTCTTCTCTTCTTTCTCTTCCTCCTCCTTTTTATCATCTGGGGCTGCTGTTGCCGATCCTCCTTCTCCCCCTTCTTCAGTGTTTAGAAAATGTCATGCTTTATGTGAAGTCCTTTTGCCAGCAGTGTAAATGCCATTTCTTCCATGTCACTGTGATACTTTTTGTGATACTCCTTTTGCTTCTCAGATCATGTCCATCAGTTAGGTCATCATAGGCATCCTTATCTTCAGTATGTTTTCAAGTCTTAGACACCTGTTTCTTGTCTACATTCACCTGTATGGATACCTGAGTCCATGACAGAATAGGTGACCTTTTCTTTTACCAAGGAGGGTAGTTAGAATTTATTTTTTTAAACAAAGGGCATAACTGTATCTGCTGAGACATTTTTTAGCATCTGGTAGTAGGTGATTTAAAACCCATCAGGCACTCACAGTTAAATGGTCCATATCATGTCAGCCACTTTACTTCCAAGTCACTTTTGCCCTCAGATTGCCACAAAATGTCAAATAAGACATGTAGATTACCTATTCTGTTTCTTGAGTGTCTATTCATGTGTAAAATAATTGTCTGGGACTCAATGTTTAGTGGTAGGATACCAAAATGATGTTGGGAACTTTTCTTTGTAAAATTTGTCTTATCGTATCTATTTTTCTGCCACCAACAAGCTCCAAAGTGTCCAATTTCTCATCTAGATTATCTCTTCAAGTGTGAAATGATAGACTGAGACTAACATTTCAACTTTGGGAAAATGTCAGATTTTGGCCAAACCTGATAGGCCTGTAGAAAAATCTGAATTTTGGAAATTATTTCCTCCCCCCCTCCAGTTTGCTCCAAAATGTCAAATTAGACATCTAGATTACCTACTCTGCATCTAGCATGTCTATTCATGTGTAAAATAATTGTCTGGGACTCAATGTTTAGTGTAAGGATACCAAAAAGTTGTTGGGAACATTTCTTTGTAAAATGTGTTTTCCACTCTTATCTTATCTATTTTACTGCTACCAGCAAGCTCTAAAGTTTTCAGTTTCTCAGCTAGATTATCTCTTCAGGTGTGAAATGATAGACAAAGACTACATTTTTAACTTTAGGAAAATTTCAGATTTTTGCCAAACTTGACAGGCCTGTGGAAAAATCTCAATTTTGGAAAAATTGAGACTGATCTGGCAGTATCTGCAGCTTTGTTCCAAACCTATTGGTGTTATCTTCCTTTTGGAGTAAACAAAGCATTGCTGAAAGGGAGATCATGATGCATAGGCAACACATGGTCTCAACAAAACTGCCCAGGCTTTGTGCTCTCATACAAATTTATTGTCTGAAAAGATTGGAAGGTACCAATCAATTTAGATTGAATCAGCCTGGTAGCCAATGTGGAGGGCAAGTGTAAACAGTCTGTCTATATTCTGACAGTCTGTCTATATTTCGCCAGGGATACTAGATGAGTATCGTTAATTTTATACATTAGAGTCCTATGTAGTCACTTCATAGTTAGAGCCTATTTGTGTATGTGTACTGTGTTGTCCTTTATGTGCTGATGAAGGCTAATCGCCGCAATGTCCTTTGTTTGTTTATTGTGATCGATTTTGTAAAGCTAACATAAACTAATTGTTGTTTCTTACCAACTTTTTCTCTTCCCTATAATTTTCTACTCCTTTTAAAAACTATATTCTGACACACACTCTCTTTCTCTCTCTCTCTCTCTCTCTCTCTCTCTCTCTCTCTCTCTCTCTCTCTCTCTCTCTCTCTCTCTCTCTCTCTCTCTCTCTCTCTCTCTCTCTCTCTCTCTCTCATTTGTAACCCTTTGAAAATAAAGTTCGTTCGTTCGTTCGTTCGTTCTCTCTCTCTCTCTCTCACACACACACATTTTCATGTATGAATGTCCACACAGGCACAAGCATAACTGTAAAAGAGCTCTTGAAATCAGCGATATGTTGTTGTTATTGTTATTACTAGATTTGATGTGGGTTCTGGAGCAGCAACCATCCGGGGAGCTCAACCACTGGAGCTGAACCAGTGGCACACAGTACATCTGAAGCGTAACCGGAAGAACGGTAAGGTTGGCCTTTACTAAAGAGCATGACCATGTCTGAGAATTCATTGTGTGTCAACTAAAGAATTATGATCAGTGTATCAATAGCAAAACTGTGCTACAGTGTTTGTAAGCCATGTTTAGCAGCAACTTTTGTTTTCTTTATCTATTTTAATTTTTTGAAATTGAAGAGTTATAAACAGCATAATAAATAATACCAACACTGTGCTATTATGTTTGTCAGCCATATTTTGGAAGTGTTTTAGAAAAAAGCTGTGAAAATAATATGTCAAAAGTTAAAGAACAGCATATATTCATCAGGTACACTGTTGGTCAATGATGAGCCGCCATATTACGGTAAGTCTCCAGGAGACTTCGAGGGACTGGACCTAGCAGAACCACTGTATATTGGAAATGTTCCAGACGTAACACAAATACCAACCAGTGCCAGGTTTCCTTCAGGTTTTGTAGGTATGTGTCAGGTTTTGTAGGTGTGTGTCAGGTTTTGTAGGTATGTGTCAGGTTTTGTAAGAGTATGTGTCCGGTTTTTGTGGGTATGGATGATGTTTTATGGGTATCTGACTTATCTGTGTGTTGAGACTGTCCACACACACACACTCTTAAACTGGCCTGTCTGTGTGTTGAGAGGGTACACACACGCACTCTTTAACTGGCCTGTCTGTGTGTTGAGAGTGTCCACACACACACACACACACACCCTTGAACTGGCCAGTCTGTGTGATGAGAGGGTACACACACGCACTCTTCAACTGGCCTGTCTGTGTGTTGAGAGTGTCTACACACACACACTCTTGAACTGGCCCATCTGTGTGTTGAGAGGGTCCACACACCCACACACACATACACACATTTTGTAACTGACCAGGCTGTGTGCTAACAGATTTCACACACAAACACACACACCTGGGTGAGCCTGTGCAGGCGCCTGCATCAGATGTCATGGGTTCAGGTCTAGGCGGTACCTGACTGGTTTTTTTCAAATGACTTAAGCTCACAGGTCAACCCAGCCTTGACTGGCTACCAGGTGGAGTCTTGGGAAGTTGAGGTTGTCGGTGTGATGCTGACCACATCACCTACCTAGTGCCAGTTGGTCTATAAAATACAGATCTACCCCTATGTGCTCAATACATCTGAAAGCATGGAAAAGGGTCATTTACTTTACTAATTGTTCATGATTCCTAGCCATGATTTAACATTGTTTCTAATATGATAACTCTGATGACAGCTATCAGGTTAAATCCATGAAATGAGATTAGTTCCATGATTATCAAGTCAAAAACGTATACCTAAGTCACTGTTTTTTTTTGCAAATTTTTAACCTGTGACACCAGCTTTTTTAAAACTGAGTCCCTATTCCTCTTCCCTCACAACACCCCCACCCCTATGTCACCATTTTTTTTCCCTGCACAACCATTTTTTTTTTAACTGAGTCACTATTTTTGTTTACCTGCATCACCATTTTTTTTTTTTTATCCAAGTCATCTTTGATTTTTTAACCTGAGTCACCATTTTTTAACATCAGTCACCATTTTTCTTGTGTCCAGGTGGCGTCAGCCAGATCAAAATTAAGGGCATAGATCTCGACCTTGGTGGTGAGGCTCGAGAGATCATAAATGTGGAACAGTACGAGGTCTGCCGAGACAGGCCTTGCTTTAATGGCGGCTCTTGCCGACCTCACAACAGCAAATACGGCTTTATCTGTGAATGTCCTCGGGGCTTTACTGGAAGCAGGTGTGAGCTGGTTGGAGAACGGTGCTATTCAGGTAGGTACATATGTAAATACCAATGGAACAGATTGGGTCTGTGATATTAGTCTGTGATTGCTCATGGAACAGATTGTCAGTGATATAAGTCTGTAACTCTTGTGGAATAGATTGTGTCTGTGATATTAGTCTGTGACTTGTCACAGACAAGATCAGTCACTGTCAAGGACCTGATATCTATATTACTTAACTAGGGCTCGCTGTACGGCCCTGTGACAGACACACTATACCAAAACACACTCAACACATACACAAATGAAGCACACACATCATCTTTAATGACCAAAGAACAACATAACCTGAAACAACCTCTACAGTTATGGACAATCCCCTTATCCGAAACTCCCGGGCAGTGGCAGCAGTTATATTTACCTATCCACCCCAGGCCATTCCATGGATTAACCAAAAGACACGATTCCACCTCCTGTAGTGCAGCGCCAACTAGGCTACGATCTTCGCCATGCGAGACTCAGTGGCACACGCAGGGTGAGTGGTTCAAGCATTAGCGGACAATGTCAACGACAGCACAAGACGCAGATAACCCCCAAAAATCCAGGGACAAGAACACCTACCTAAACATGATACAACCCCAACACAACTGTCTTAGCATACTATCAGCACACGAGGAATAACAATAGCTAACCAACACATATGACGACAGCGTTAACACTACACAACCTATCTGTCAATTCCTAACAAAAAAATACAATCACGTCTCTCAAAATGTCTTCATCCTCGCACGTCCCTTTTCCCTTCCCTTCTCCTCTCCCCGTTCAGCTGCGGTTCAAACGTGTACATTGCACCAGTGTTCAAGCATCTCAGGTTTTCCCCGTATCATCAAATCAACTGGCTGAGCGCTGGTGCACATTTTTGGTCCGTCAAACACCAACATGAAGTTACACGACGTATTGTCTATACTCTGTCCCACAGGGCTATGACATCCACCCCTCCTCTAAAACGATACTTCCTGATGACAGACATGGATGCTACTTATCCTAGTCTGTAATCAAGTATCGACAACTAGGTTTGGGATCTAATCCCCTTTTTAAAGAACAATCAGTTTAGTTGGTAGGCATGAGATTCTTTTACCCTGTCAACCACATGAGAATAAAGTACATAAATTTGTGGATGTACATACATGAGGACAACAGCCTCCCTCGAAGGTACAAATATTGTCAGTACCTGACACAAATCTGCCACCATATCCAACACCTTCTAATCATACAGGTAATGACTTTAAAATAATGTGGGTAAACCCACTGAACTTAACCCCACTCCCGTGCGAGTTAAACGCCATCAAACGCGCTTCCCAGCGATGCTAATAACAATGGTCGTCACAGATATGTCTTCCTGAGATATCCATGGTTCTTTTGCAGCTCCCGACGTCCCGTCGTATTGTGTCTATAAATACGCAATCCCTGCCAAGACACTAGTCACACCTTCTGACCAACAGTGTAGAATAAATAGTAGACAAATACGTGACCTGCACAACGCATATCCATCCACCAAGGACACCGTCAACCCACATGTATAGTCTCCGACAATTCAAAAACCCCACAATTAGTCTCATTGAAGCTCATTTGAAATACAATGTCCTCCCAACAATTTGTTCACTATAATCGCTTTATAATTGTCACATATTTCTAACAACAACAAAAACTATCACGTCTCTCAAAATGTCTTCATCCCCATACGTCCCTTTTCCCTTCCCTTCTCCTCTCCCCGTTCAGCTCCGGTTCAAATGTGTACGTTGCACCAGTGTTCAAGCATCTCGGGTTTTCCCCGTATCATCAAATCAACTGACTGAGCGCTGGTGCACATTTTTGGTCCGTCAAACACCAACATGTAGTTACACAACGTATTGTCTATACTCTGTCCCACAGGGCTATGACAGTCACCTATTTTTGTAATAATACAGAATCTCACCTCTCTGTAACTGACATACAGTAGTACTATCCATCAAGAAGTTATGCATTTTCAGTTCCAATTATTTCAGTTTTTTGCCAGTGAAAGTTGGAAAGCCACAAAAGACATGGAACGAAAGTTAAATGCATTTGAAAACAAATGCCTGAGGAAATGATGAAAACAAAATGGGATAAATTCAAGCAATATGATGTTTCCATAACCAAACATGCAAAATCAAGCATAATTGGTAGACATGAATATCATCACCGTCATGTGCCCTGCCAACTGGCATAGGTGCTCATGAGTCTCCACAGATCATGATCCCTGGTTGCCTGGAATAGCTCACATGATGATATCCCTCCATGCCATCGTTTCAGCCCATCCAGCATCATCTCTCTTGGTCTGCCTCTACACCTTTTTCCACTGATCTTTCCAGTTGTCACGATGTTCTCCAATGTCTATCTTCTCATTATGTGGCCAAAGAACAGTGTTTGTCTCCTTCTTATTGTTGTATATAGAGATCTACTTTCATTAGCTTCTTTCAAGCAATCGTTGTTAGTTACTCTGGCCGTCCAAAGTATTTGTAACATTCCTCTCAAAAACCACAGACATAAATATACATTATTGAAATAGAAAAATACTCTATAGATTCCAATCAAAACCTGGATGGTTTGAACAGGATATTGTTGTTTGAATTACTACTACTTTGACTGGCTTGTGTTGGAAATATTGATAAGTGAAGCTTCACACTTCTTGTTTGTCTCACAGCATCAGCTTGTTTTTTTTTTAAAAGTTATGGAACACGATCTGGTATGCATCTAATTATTCTTCTTCTTCAGCATTCCAAGTGCTCGAGGTTCATTGCTGCAGATATCACCCACCTCCTTTCATCTCTCTGGTCGGCCTTCTCTTTCCATTTGGTGACGTTATCTCTCCATCGTCTTCTTGGTCTGCGACTACTTATCTCCTTTGTGTATACATTATGAATATATGCTACTTTGATGATCCCATTTATCCATATTTAATTAGATCTCATTAATTTTTTAAATTAATTCTGAGCTATACTGCTCTCTGTCAAGCTAATTTGCTATACAAGATACATGACTAAACTATTTTACTGTTTGATCTGTGTGAGACTGTAACTAGTTTCCCAACATCATCATTTTTTGTTTCTCTCTCTCCTTTTCTCTTTTTCTCTATTTCTCTTTTTCTCTATTTCTCTGTCTCTATTGCTCTTTCTGTCTCTGCCCCCCACCCCCTCCCCCAACCGTCATTTGTAAATATTCTGCATAAATATTTATAATTATATTGTACTCTGTGTCTACATCAATGACAGAATGTTTGAGTCATTTGTATCCTTGACTGTTCTTAACAGGTGCTTGTGGCCCACAAGGCAAGTGTTACAACCTGCCAGGTGTTTCTGGATTCAGTTGCGTGTGTCCTTTTGGCTTTTCTGGAGAGGGCTGTGTTCAAAGTAAGTTTAAACTTATTTTTTTAATTACTGCTTTGTGTGACCACAATATATTTTTTTCTCATGGTTAATTTATTGTACAAATATGATATTTTTGCAATGACTGTTAAAAAATATATTGCAAAAGTGTTATATTGCAGACAAAATGTTATCAGCAGAAAATGACTAAGTCTCTGAAACTGGTACCAAGCACAGACACTTTTTAATTATAAGAAAGAGACATAATTCTTTAATTCCCAGTTAGTTGCCCATTAACTAGTTCTGTCCAAACTATTAGTACTTGAAACTAACAAGTGCTCAGTCTCAATTAACTACAGTAATAATAATTTTGAATATATAATGAATAGGGCACTAGAACAGAAAATAACTACGTCCGAAATGCGCTGTCTCCGCAAGGTCACTAACAACACAAGAAGAGACAGGGTTACGAATATCAGCATTAGAGAGGAAGTTGGAATAAGACCATGTCTGGATTATATTGACAGACAAAGAAGGAAATAGTTCTTCCATCTAGTGAGAATGCAGCCAGACCAGACTGCATATGAGACTTTTACAGTAGAACATCTGGGAGGAAGGTGAGAGGAAGACCAAGAAAGAGATGGATAAATGGTGTAGCTGAAACCTGCAAAAATATGAACTAATCCCAAGCCACCCGAGATATGCAAGACAAATACAGAAAACCACAACACTGGGCTACAGCCTGGTATCAGTGAGACAACAAAAGAAGAGGATCATATTAGTCAGATAATAATTAATGTGGCATACAGATTAAAGGAAAGCTTATTGTGTATAAAATTACTAATAAACACACTGGACATTGTTTGGTATTGAAACAGTTAAAATATATTAGGTACCACTAACTTCATGGAATTTATTCACAAACCACATGTTCTTCTGATGGAGACATTTTGGGAGGGAAAAAACCCAGACAACTGCTGCTGTCCACCTACAAATGATGATACTCCTGATATACAGCTAAAGGAAGACCAAAGATTATAGGGATAAATTTGATCAAAAAAAGACTCACTTCACTCGGGGCAACGCCCTGTTTGAAAACTTAAACTTTCTCCTACACACACACACACAAACAAAGGTAAAGTCGGGAGATGTGAACCAGCATCATTGCATGCGGTTATAAACCATAAGTGTTCTGCCACCAATATGTACAGGTGAAAAGAAAGTTTCCGCCTGTGTCGCCGTCTGCACGCAACTCCGTAGCTACAGTGATGTTCCTCCATTTACCCCAGAGTGTTAACTCTGGTACCCATTACCTAGAGGCTGGGTAAACCTCGGGAACCATCCGGTTTTGAACACCTACCATGGGCTGCAGCGAGTCGCAGCTGGATTTAAAAGCGAGCCTACTATCAGCTGCACTAATGCGGCCCCCTAAACATTCCCCTACACATTAAGTCTAAAATTGATTGCAAGCTATTATCTGTTAAGATAGGTAGACATTCAGGTGACTGAACATGTTCTGACAATTATTTTATGATAGAATATTAAAATGTCTTCAAAGTTGCCTCTAGAGATTTGGCATTTTTTCTTCTTCTTCAGGGTTCTGAGTCCTTGAAGTTCATTGCATCAGATATCACCCACCTCCATTCATCTCTCTGGTTGGTCTTTTCTTTCCAGTTAGTGACATTAAGTGTTTGCAGGTGTGTCTGGACAGTATTTCTCCATCATATTCTTGGTCTGCTTCATGGTCTACCACGATTCAGCTCTCCTTCTCTTCCCATCACAGATCTCTTAATGGTTGTCCAGATGCATATTCAGAATGTGATCATATTTGTTAGCTATTTGCAGGGGTTTATCATGTTATATGAGAGAGGCATATACAGACAACTTGCTGTATGGTTCATCATGTTTTGTCTGAGAGGCACAGACAGACACAGTGAGTCAAGGAGAGAAGAGACATGTTATAGTCATTTATTAATGTTTCTTTTTCCAAAGGAATCAGAGTTGCAGACCCTGCCTTCAATAAGACATCATTTATCTCATACCCAACAATCAGCGGTGGGCTCCTATCTGTCAGAGTGCGGCTCTTGTTCAAACCAAGATCCTTGGAAGATGGAATCATCTTGTACAATGCCCAGAGACAGGATGGTCAGCAAGACTTCATTGCTATTCTTATCAAAGATGGCTACCTGGAGTTTAGATTTGATATTGGGTCAGGTAAGTAATGTTTCTTTGACATGTAGAACCGGTTGTACCCTCTTAGTCTCTTTCAGCAGATGGAAATAGTAAAAGGGCAAAGTCTGGTATGTGCTATATAATTCAAGTGTTCAGATATGTTATAAATCACTATTCGCCGATGATCAGGTACTCATAGCAGAAAGTAAGGAATGCCTACAGAACCACCTAAATTGAATTAATAACAAAGGGGAGGAAAATAATATGAGAATAAACACTACCAAGACAGAGACAATGGTGATAGGAAGACAGTTAGGAAAAAAAAAAATTAAAAATCAATGCCTTAAGACAGACAGAGGAATTCAAGTATTTGAGAGCACTTTTCACATCCGACAGAAAACTGGACAGAGAAATTAGCTCTAGATGTGGCTAAGCTAATCAAGTAATGTGGCAACTATCTCCCCTGTCGACACAGAAGTAGATATCATGGAGTACTAAAGTTAATCTTATCAGAACTATTTTTTGGCTAACACTATGCTATCAGTGCCAAACGCGGACACTTACCTACTCTAATGATTGTACAATTGTAACCACAGAAGTGAAATGCATTAGAAGAACTGCAGGAGTTTCAAGGAAAGAATACAAATCGCGAAATCAGATGAATGCTAGGAATAAAGTTAGTATTACATGTCATAAAAGAACAACAAATGTAGTGGTCTGGACACCTAACAAGAATGTCCTGGTACTATTTACCACAGCGAGCCACACTGAAATGTTACAACGGGTATAGAGTGAGCAGAAGACCTTGGAAAAGATGGAGTAATGGCATTAAGAACAGCCTTACAGAAATGAACATCAGTCTCAATAGTGCTCTTGACAGAGCTCATTAACAAACATTACATCTCCCCCCAACACTTCACAGAGGTACAATGCAAAAGAGAGGAAGAAGAAGGAAAAAGAAGATATGTTATAAGCTATGACAAAATCAGAACAGAACTAAAAATATACAATCAGAAGTAACAGCTGAGTTGAATTCATCTTGGATTATTACAAACATTAGTTACTGTGGCATGTCTTGAATGAATGAATCAATCAAGAATTGACATCACTGCCATCGGACATTCCAACATGTGCTCCGTCCCCTTCTTTAGTAGCTAATAGAGAGTTGATATGCAAATAGTACCAGTTACAACCTGATTAAAAGTCTGCCTGTTTCCCCCTAACTGTTAAATATATTCCAATACCTACCTCTACCCCCCCCCCCCGAGACCACCCACCCCGCCCTCGACCCCCCACCACACCCCTGTTAAATTAGTCTTTCAGTCTATGGAATCTCTGTCTCTTCTCTATGTCACTGTTTTGTGTGACCTTGTGTGAGACTGTGAGGATTCTAACAGAGCTGAGGATATAAAACACATCCAGTCCCTTAAGAGAGGGTCGCAGGAAGATGTTGCAGGAGATTAAAATCTGTCTACAAATGGTACCCTTATTATCATATACTACTTACGTCCTTTTCAGGACGTAATTTTTTCTTATTTGAAGCCCCACTCTGGCTTTTGCCAGGGGCCGCAATATAGGCAGGCCATTAATATGGCCAATTGTCTGAACGCGGTTTCTGGGACCTCTCCACGGTGATCCTCATCCGCATGGTGGCACTTTGTGTCATCGGGTGTTTATCGCTTGTGTGATGTCCTAGTGGGGTAGAAAGTCAGTCAGTCAGTCGGTACCCTTATTAAAATGCACTAAAGTCTAAAAGCAATAATATAACCACTTATATTTTAACTGCTAAATGTTCAATTATCAACTATTTGTCGTGCTTAGGTGCTGCAGTTTTGAGGAGTCGCAGACCTCTGACACTAAATGACTGGACCACAGTTTTGGTGGACAGAAAGGGTCTAGATGCTACGCTGTTTGTCAACAATGATGAAGTTGTCAGTGGTAAGCTCATATGTTATGTTTGTACTTGCTATCTTCTGCTACGGTCAGGTTCTTTCCCATTGACCGTGGTTGTTCGTAGGAGTTGCCGTGGCGTTGTGGCTAGATGCTCGAGTGCGGATCGGAAGGTTCGCTTCCTGGTGGAGCTGGACTTTTTTCAAAAATGACCTTGACTCCCAGGTCGACCCAGCCTTGAGTGGGTACAGAGTACAGTCCTGGGAAGTAAAGGTGGCTGGCATGATGCTGACCACAGCACCCATCTTGTGCTGATTGGTCTTTAAAAATATAGGTCTAGCCCTACATGCCCTATACGCCTAAAGGCGTGGAAAAGGGACATCCTAGCACAGGACTATTCAGCTGGTGGCACTTGGGTCTTATCTGGCCTGCCAAAGCCTAGCAAGTGGCCCACGGATCAGTTGTTTTATTGTATTAAGGATTTTTCTATGCTGGGATTCAGGCCTGGGGCCCGTGACAATCCTCATTTTCAACATTTTGGCCCTTGAGTAAACCCTGCCCTAGGACATCAGTCAAACCCATTCTTTTCTCCAGGCCATTCCGGCAAAGTGAGTAATGAACAGGTATACAGATTGGCTGGATCTGCACCACTGGGTGGTGAATTGATACATGACAAGGCAGATGTGGTAAAGGCCCTTAGGGAACAAGCAACAGAATTAGTAGAGAAACAAGATTATTATGGCCTGGAGAGAATGAGGCACCTGGGTGTAACCAGAGGGTCTGGCTGGCTCACTACACGCAGAGGAAAGGCAAGACGAGTATATATCCAGATTGTGACCGATACCATCAGTATTGGAACTCTGTGCTGGCTGATGAAGATGAGGACGGAGCACGCATGGGAATGCCCCGAGGCTGTCATGTCAATTCTTGACTCAGATCAACTCAACTCAACTTCAACCCATTCGTGCTCCATCCTCCAATGCAGCAGCTATCTCAGTGTCTCCATGCTCACTGTACTCAGTAGGAGTTGACTGGTATATCTTCTTTGCCTTGCAAATATTCATCATCAATGTCACCATTATCATCATCATTATGATCCTCAGGTTCCTTAATGTGATCATCTGATCATGCATGTTACTGTCACTATTTCTTATCCTCAGGTGACACCACACTAAAGAACCAGTCATGAGCTCATGTCACTTTACAGTCCCCAGTTCTCATCCTCAGGTGACACCACATTAAAGAACCAGTCATGAGCTCATGTCACTTTACAGTCCCCAGTTCTCATCCTCAGGTGACACCACACTAAAGAACCAGTCATGAGCTCATGTCACTTTACAGTCCCCAGTTCTCATCCTCAGGTGACACCACACTAAAGAACCAGTCATGAGCTCATGTCACTTTACAGTCCCCAGTTCTCATCCTCAGGTGACACCACACTAAAGAGCCAGTCATTAGCTCATGTCACTTTACAGTCCCCAGTTCTCATCCTCAGGTGACACCACACTAAAGAACCAGTCATGAGCTCATGTCACTTTACTGTCCCCAGTTCTCATCCTCAGGTGACACCACACTAGAGAACCAGTCATTAGCTCATGTCACTTTACTGTCTCCAGTTCTCATTATCAGGTGACACCACACTAAAGAGCCAATCATTAGCTCATGTCACTTTACTGTCCCCAGTTCTCATCCTCAGGTGACACCACACTAAAGAGCCAGTCATTAGCTCATGTCACTTTACAGTCCCCAGTTCTCATCCTCAGGTGACACCACACTAAAGAGCCAGTCATTAGCTCAAGTCACTTTACTGTCCCCAGTTCTCATCCTCAGGTGACACCACACTAAAGAGCCAGTCATTAGCTCAAGTCACTTTACTGTCCCCAGTTCTCATCCTCAGGTGACACCACACTAAAGAGCCAGTCATTAGCTCAAGTCACTTTACTGTCCCCAGTTCTTATCATCAAGTGACACCACACTAAAGAACCAGTCATTAGCTCATATCACTTTACTGTCCCCAGTTCTTATCATCAGGTGACACCACATTAGAGAACCAGTCATTAGCTCATGTCACTTTACTGTCACTAGTTCTCATTATCAGGTGACGCCACACTAAAGAACCAGTCATTAGCTCGTCACTTGACTGACCCTAGTTTTCATCATCAGGTGACATCACACTAAAGAGCCAGTCATTAGCTCATTGACCTTTACTGTCCCCTGTTCTCATCATTAGGTTAAGTCACACTAAAGAACCTGTCATTAGCTCAAGTTACTTTACTGTCCCTAGTTCTTCTCGTCAGTTCTAAATTATCTACATAGACAATGAATCAAACGTTTTGCCCACTTAAAGAGAAGGTCCTATGACACCACACCATACAAGGCATACAACAAATGAGGAGATGGTCATAAAGCAAAAGTTTGCACAAGAACAAGTTGGGAAAATAACCTCAGAAAAACTACAACAGCATAATGTATCTATGACTGAGGTGACCAGACCAGAAGAACAAGAAACAGAACCTAATATCTCCTAAATACCCAAAGTGGTAAAAGAATATAATAAAATAGGAGATATTTAGAGAGGTATGCCATGGAGTTGGGAAAGTAATCTGGCAAGTGACGAAAGAGCTGTATTGCCTGACTGGTGGCTTCATTATTAACAGTCATTGATTGTTCTTAGATAGCTATGTAGTTTAGTATTTACATATCTTAATAGAGGTTTCATATTTTTATTGTCTTTCCATGTTTTCCCATAGACATTGTATAGTATTTTGTTTCCACTGACATGCCATTGGCTCTGAACTTAAGCATAGAAGATGTGAAATGCATGCGTGAATGCAGACATGACGCTTGTTATGAATTTGATCCAAGTGTATATTCAACAGCTGACCTTGTGTTGTATTTATACCTTTATCATAGAACAAGTACTACCAAGAGATGAGCTCATTTACCCACACTTTGGCAGAGGGGACATCAATGGAGGTATACAGATTTATTTATCAATTTGTTTCTAATATTATGTTTAATTCAGCTACTTTAATATGTGTATTTGGGGTTGTACTACTTTTGTTCAGTTCTAAATGTGACTGTATGATATCTCTTATTGTGGACAAAGACATGCATTTGCAGGAAGCCATATATATAAATATATATAAAATTGCAGCCAAAAGTCAGCATATAAGTTTCAGTCCAGACAGCAGTAGGAAAGTATAGAGGAAGTCCAGGCATCATAATGACTGTATAGAGGCAGCACACATAGCACAATGACAGTATATAGGACTCAATTTAAACAGCAGGAAATCAGTACAGAAACCTCAGTCCAGACGACAGAAAGAGAGCAATAATTGAAATTACAAAGAAAAATCTCTAAAAATATATAGCAAATGAAACAGTTGTGAGGCAAGTTAGTGAGTTCAGATATCAAAGCAACAGATGAAAGATGTACTCATCGTCTTCATATAGTAGATTTGTTGCAGTACATTACTGGAGAAGATTCCTGATCCTTCACCAGTTATCCTTCCTTGTGCACATTCATCTTGGGTGTCTTCAAAATACCATGTCCACTGTCTATATGATATCACATTCGACCATGTGTGCAGAGAGTGGCCAGCGAGTGCTGCAGAGGTGGAAGTCCAGCAGTTGATTCAAGAAAATTCATGACCATGTGATCTAATTATCTATACAGATGGTTTGGTGTTGAGAGGAAAGAGAAGTGCCTGGAGGTTCATAGTGAAAGCCAGTGGAAAATCTTTAGTGAAGTACAGCCTAGCATAGGATATCACAACATCTAGCATGAGAATGGAAGTGGAGGCAGTCACTGCAGCTCTCAAGTGGCTAGAGAACAAGATACATTCACATGTCATAATTATAACAGACTCTGAAGGCATGCTGAGAAAG